CCTTTTGAAAATTAAAAAAATATTCACAGTTATAGCTGAAGGACTGGGCTAGCGAACAGTGTGAACCAAATTCAAATTGTTCAAAGCAGAAAAAAAGTTATTCATATTTTAACAGGGGGTTAAAATTTTATGACTAATCACCTTATCCAGAAATGCGGCTGGATATAAAAATATAATATACCAAAGAAAATTATACAATTAGTACAGGGTATTTCGAGACAAATTTCCAATCTGAGTATATGGATAATAATAAGAGTTTGACAATTCGTGTGTTACCATTTCAAAGAAATTTTGACGACTTCAAAAATTTCTCTGTGAAAATTGGCAGTTGCGGTACCTAGCCTAGCACAGTCAGCGATACGGATTGACAAATTTTCTTCGGGTTTGTTCTAATCGCATTCATTTCTCACAAAAAATACGTATATGTATATGAAAATTAATCAAAAGAGTACCTACTCTAAGATTTCTAGATGTATCGAGTGGTATCGGCTCAAAATACCTATCAGATTATACTATCACTCGTGATAAAAAAATTTTAAAAACTCACCAGCGTGAAAAAGGTAGAAAATGATTTCTGCAATTCCATTGTTTGAAATTTTCGATTACTATCACTCATTTTTTAGGGAACACTCCGTTTGGAACGATAAATAATTCCTTTCGCGTATTTTTCAATGTCGATCACAAAATTCGTCCGTACGTGATGACATCTAATATAAAACTGTCTTGATTTACCACCTGGTCCCGAATGAATGACTAATGAGTTGAATCATGCTTGCTAACCGATTAATTTCCGAACAAATGATTTATCTATGACTAATGTTGATAATGGAATTATACGAATTATATAGGGGAGGCTATGACGAATGATGATTTTACGGGGGGAAAAGAGATATATAGTATACAAAATATAAGATGAAGTATTGAACACGGATATACTGACAGTATTATTTTCGAAAGTCTAATGATTTAAAAAAATTTTACCCAGGCTAAAAATATAATCTTTCCCAAAATATCTAGATATGTTTTGTTAACTGGAAAGAAGAGGAAAATAATGAACAATGTGGTCTACTTTTTATAAGCGCGCATCCAAATATACATTTGGTATAATAATCAGAATCAGAATACAATGGAAGAAATAATGATAGCAAGTTAACATTAGGTAAATAAACATTAGAAAACCCACAGAAGCAGCAAATACTGCTTGTACAAGGTGAACAAGTATGAATTTCGTTTGACGAGCTATTATTGAAAATACTAAGATTAATAATTTTGGAATATAAAACTAAGTAGGTACAAAAATTCAAAAGTGTAAAATATTTATATACAAAATAATCAAAATGGATAGATATAAAAAAAAATTGAATGAAACAACTCCGGTGTTAAACAATCACAATAACTTCGGAGACGTATAATGTATATGTATATAAAATTACTGACAATACTAAAATAAATAATTTCGGAATATGAATCTACGTACAAAAATTCAAGACTGTAAAATACTTAAATAATTTGTGTGTGTGAAAATGTATTGAGCACTCGAAAATATCTAAAATAATTGACAAATTGTTGTATAGAACGAAATCCATCGAAAGTTTACCTAATTCGGCTCTAATTAAGTTGACATTTGACGACTGGTTATTTTTTTGTAATAAAATTGGATTTTTTGTATAACGAGTTCAATAAAAATACTGTTTTTCAAATTGGATGCGCACTGTTGAAAAAAAAAGGAGTTTTTGGTTTGCCTGAAGACGGATCTGGATTCTAAATTTCATTCATATTTATTTTTGATGAGAAATATGAGTTGAAAATACCTACCAAGTATGAATCGATTATACACAGTGGTTCAAAAGTTATGACCTGACCATAGATGAAGATTTTGCCAAAATCAAGATTACGTTCTGTATCACAGTTATTGAAGATGGTAAATTCTTAAAAGATACAGTTTCGAACAGGAAGCACGAAAATCAGAAGAAAGTATTCCTTGATCGGAGAAAATACAACAAACGGTACGAAACATACAGGGTATGTCACGACGAGCTTACACTATCTCTATATCGAGAATCAGTCGGGTGAAATCCATGAAAATATGCATGTGATCAGAATTCTGAATATTGAACCACCATGTATCTGCAGTTGTGATTAAATATCAGTAAATAGTGAAACAAAAGTTGAGATAGGGACATGTGAGCCGTTTTGACCGATAATGAATATTTTCGACACAAAAAAATCCTAAAGTTGAAAAATATCGATTTTGAACACCCTATATCTCTGTAATCATTTTCGATAAACCCCAATTATGATATATCGATGAAATGAGCTCTTCAGGGAGAATCTTAAAATGCGATAAAATACAGGGTGTTCCGTTCGAAATATCAATGTTGCTACTACTTTCTAGTAGAAGCGGCAACACTGCATTGTCGAACATATATTAAATGAAAAGAGCGTATACCAAAATATAAGCATGCACATTTTCATGAATTTCTCCCGACTGATTCTCGATTTAAAGATAGTGTAAGCTCGTAGTGACATACCCTGTATAGGGTAATGAAGTTAAATGAATACAGAGAAATATGAGGAAAAATTGAGAGAAATTCTCTACACTCACCAGCGTGAAAAAAGTGAGGCTTTGATGAAACAACACGAAACACTAGAACAACCCACGATCCCGATATTATTATTATTGAATCGAATGAGAAATACAAAAACACTAATATACGAATCAATACGATCACTCAGTTTTTAGGGAACACTCAGTTTGGAACGATAAATAATTCCTTTCGCGTATTTTTCAATGTCGATCACAAAATTCAACCGTACGTGATGACATCTAATATAAGACTGTCTTGATTTACCACCTGGTCCCGAATGAATGACTAATAAGTTGAATCATGCTGCTAAAACCGATTAATTTCCGAACAAAAAATGATTTATCTATGACTAATGATGATAATAAAATTGAACGAGGGGGGAGATATTTTGTATACAGGTGCTATTTTTTTTTTTTTTCGAAAATCACTAACGATATGGAAGAATTTTACATAGGCTGAAAATATATTTTTTCCAAAAATCTCGTGATTATGGAAGAACTTAACATACAATATGTAGTGAAGATATCGAACCCTTTCCATTACCAAGAAATAATTTACCACAGTGACATACAGGCAACAATTTTTGTTTCAAAAATATTGGTCACACGTAGTGGAAATAAATCAAAAGAGTAGCTACTCTGAGATTTCTATATGTATCGAGTGGTATATCGGCTCAACATACCTATCAGACTTTTGACATGGTGAAAACCTCGATGTGGGTATCTGAACTACTGTACTCATGTGATGTGTGCTGAATATATTTTCGGAAATCCAACTCGGAGAAAAATTTATGGAGTGACTAATTCTAGGACGAAAAGTAGGCTTATAAAAAGGAATACGTGGAATTGCAGGAAAATGAAGAATAGAATATACTTTACCCCCATGTTATACATATGATTTTTCCGCCTCCCTCAAATAAAAAGTCATTTCCAAATAATTTATTGATGAAAGTAACAAAGAAGTAGGTATACAGTATAACTTATGGGCACGTTATTTTCACTCTTGCATCCTAAATTTTTTCAATTTGTGGTAGAGTAATAATTATATAAACTAATGTTTTGGAAGTGCAGTTTTGAGCAGTGATTATTTGAACACCACTAAAAGTGAGATCTGGAGCCAATGCAGTTTTCGTGATATTTTCATAAAAAATTTCAGTGACCCACAATTTGGTTCGAAATATTTTGCTATTTTGTGAGAGATTGCTGCACATACCCTTCAGCGATATTCGTAGACTTCCAAGTCCAGAATTTGCAAGGTTCTTCTGAAACTATGCCCGGTATAATTTATAACATCAGGCAGCTTTGAAAATTCTGCAATTCTTTTTATGAATTTTAGCAATAGAATTCTTTCCCACCATTTGGTAGATACATTTTCCTGCTCTATTCGCGGGAATCAATGTTACCAGGTGGCGCTCGGTTTTCGTCGTTCCATGTCAAAGCCACGTCAAAACTGGGGGAAAACATACTCAATCCTCACTCAATTGACTCAATCCCATTAGTGCTATTAGCTTGTGTACTGTGTACTGATAAGAGTGATGTTTTTAAATTTCTTGACATTAATTGTCAATATTCGATCGAAAACGCTAATAATGCCTGTTGTAGCTGTTCTTTTATATGTCAATTGATTTGCTTCTCATGATTAGTTTGAATTGTTTGAACTATCTCCAATTTTTCACCCGTTCACTGTTCACTAAGCTATTAAAAATGTTATAATGTAAAAAAATTAACCAACTCAACCATCATCACTACCAACAGTGCCAACCTTTATGTCATTGACAAGTTTGACTACAGCTACAGCAAGCTGAATGCAATGTAGTCTATGCACTTTATCCATAGAAAACAGTTTGTTTTCCCCCAGTTTGAAGTTCGTATTATGTAACCTAGATGTCGCCCACTTCGTGAATCTCGCGAATAGGAATTGATAACACGTTACCAACATGACACATCAAGAATATCAAAGTTAACGATTTTCCTGCTTCAGCAAGAAGGATTTCCCTAGATATTTCAGCAAGTTGCAAATAGAGAGACTCGGAGCAGATTTCAAGAGTATAGAGTATAGACAAATCGGTCATATTTTGCTGAGTTTTGCTAACGCCGCCTTCGAACCAGCGAAGAAAGAACTAAGGCCAACTTTGGCTCCAACACATCTCAAATGGAACTATATCATCTTGTTAGTGTTAATCATTGTCGATCTAGATGAAAACCTACTAACTACCTAACTAGGTTGTCATCTAGAACGACAATGGTGTTAATAATCAAGGCTACAATTGAATATATTTTTGCATAAGTTGGGGATATCGCAGGAAAAATAAACAAAACATTCATTCCCATGGAGAAAAACATAATCATTTATACAATTCTCATTGACTCAATCCTCATATTAAAAAAATTGAGTGAGCATTTTTTCCTCTAGAAAAAGGTCGATTTCATCGGCAGAGACGCCCTATTGAAGCAGCGAGAGGAAGGAGTTAAGAGAATGTACCTTCAGTTGATCATCCAAGATCACGATCACGAAACCGATCAGTGGCCTTGGGGTGGAGAGCCGATATACCGCAACGGTAAATACGTCGGTATGACTACGACCACTGGATACGGGTTCACGTTCAAAAGACAGGTATGAAATAGTAATGGAACATCAGAGAATCAATCAATCAAAATATACTTTATTGTCTGAAGAAAAAAAATCTTATTGACATACATAATGAATAAAATATACCTTATATCACAGTGTCTATAGCAAGAAAGTGATGCTACAATCATACTCATTTTAATAAAATAATGATAATGAGAGAATAAAAGACAGTCTCAATACGAATTAAAAGTGTATGTACTAAATTGATAACATAAACCTAAATGAATGAGTATTCCGTCAGGAGCTATCATGTCAAAAAAAATCAACTTGCATTATTCCAATCTCTAGCTAGATATTCTTGAACACAATAATATGTTTCTTTGATGAGATGTTGTTTCACCGATCTCCTAAAATGAATTGGAGAAACAATGTCTCTAAAATCGACTGGAAGATGGTTATATAATTTGACAGTATTATAAATCAATGACTTTTTAGTTAAGCTCGTCGATGGAATAGGAAGTCTTATATTGTTGTTTTGCCGAGTAGAACTTACAACCGCATCATATGACGATTTATTGTTGTGAACTAAACATACTGTTTCGAGAATGAAGAGGCACGGAAGTGTTAGGATTTTGTGCTTTGAGAACAGAGGTTAATTACTCTAGGTTCTACTTTGAGCATGAAGATCGATTTGAAATTCTGTTCACTGCAAATTACCCCAGAAAGGTATTCCATATCTTATGTGTGACTCAAACAGAGCATGGTATACTAATTAGGACGTGGCCAACGCATAACACTCAGACGCCAATTTTTTACTCAAAAGTTTCACGTGATTTTCAAAGTTGAGTTTGTCATCCAGATGAATACCAAGAAATTTAACTTCGTTCTTCTGTTCAATGAAGACTTCATTTCCTAACTGGATGTCTGGTAGATCACATTTGATCGACAGGAGGCTAGTTTTACCTATATTGAACGACAGCAAATTTGAGTCACACCACCTTTTCACAGCGGAAATATCGTTGACAATTTTCGTTTGAATATTCTTTACTTCATTATCATTCCACGTGATAATTGTGTCGTCTGCAAAAAGCCAAATCTTTAAAATACAATAAGAACAGGATAGGCCCCAAAACAGAGCCCTGTGTCATACCGTGACAAACTGAACCAGTCTCAGACGTCGTATCTGTTCTCACGATTTGTGTTCGCTCGCTAATGTAAGATTTAATCCCGCTAAGGTTCTAATTTCTGATGCCATAGTGTTGCAATTTGTGCAGCAGAATTTCGTTATTCACACAATCAGAAGCTTTCGAAAGGTCACAAAAAACTTCTCTATAACTTGTTCCTTCTTACATAAAATATGAAAACAGCATACAGGGTCATGCCGACAATATTGCTATTTCCTGAACGGTAACATGTAGAAAGTTGATCGAATAAGGCAAAAGTTGCGTAATTTTATCTTTATTATTATGAAGTTTCACAATTTGAGAAAACTTCAGCCGTTCCTGAGATATTTGTCGTTTTTGATCATTTTCTTGTTTGATGTGTAGGGGAACATTTTGAAATTTTGCTTAAGCAGGTAATGAAAGAAGTTGGGATTATCAGAAATATTCTTCTTCTTCTTCTTCATTAGTTTCAGAGGTTTACTATATATACTACTTTTGTTTTTTTTGCGGGCGCCATATTGGTTTTTTATACCATTAGATAGGGCAAAAAATTCCCTTCACAGCCATGTATAACATGACATCATCTTATAAAACAGCGCCAGAATACAGTAAAAACAATGTTTTGCTGGTTACGAATCTGGTAGCCCATGATAATAAGAAAACAAAATATCAGTCATCATGACTACAGTATTGATAATACTCCTTCATAGCCATCTATAACATGCTACATTATGATGAAAACGGGGTAAAAAAGGGACAGACTACCAAAAATACAGGGTACATGGTCTAATTGAGATCGACCACCGACTATAACTTGGCAACAACAAAATAACGGGTCTTCAACAATGATTGAGTGCCACAAACGTGACCGTTTTTAATGCGGCGTCTCTTTTCCACCTATGGCAAAGAGATACGACTGTATTGTTGTTTGCATAGTAATCTGTCACGTGGTTTTCAATCATTGTTGAAGACCCGGTACTCATGAATCATTGCTTTTTGCTAATGAGTTGCAAGATAAGCACTTCTCTCGGAATGATATCGATAGACCAAGCTAAAAGAATGCTAGTTTCTGTAGATTTTTCATTCCTATAAATAAAAACATGATTATTATTCTGATTTTTTTGTTATCTTTTATGAAGCTCCTAGGAAAAATATTGTCCCTTATGTTAGAGGCTATGGTATCTCAAACAATTAGAGAATAAGATTCATATTGAACTTTATTTGAAAGATAATGATTGACATTAACATAATTTTATTTCAGTGTGACTTAATGTCTCACGACCACCTCACGACCTACTAAAACTCTGAATACCGGATGTTCGAATGAATATTTACTTGAATATAATCCAACACCTTACACATGCGCAAAGTGTCTTTTCCGCATGTAAAAATTTATCTGACTTCCGCTTTGCCTGCGGAAAAGTAACATGTTGCATACTCCTTAGTAAAATAACTATTCCATATTCTTTTGATTTCGTAGGTATGCTTAGGTTTCATCGAGAATATTGATGAAAATGGAGTTCACCATAAAGTAACCAATGATTTTATTACTAGTGGAGATTTTGAAGTTGATATCGCAGGAATACGGTAAGTTTCTGAACGGTTGTAATGTGTATCACTTTTTTCGTTGACCAATAAGAGTTGAAATTTGGCATATGTATACAGACTCTTCCATAACTAACGTGACAGTAGATTTCACTGCCGAAAAAAAGAAAAAGAAAAAAGTTACCATATGGAAAAATGCTTCCTAAGGAAGCAGCACCCCTGAACATGGTTTCATTGAATTTCTCCTAAATGGTTCGAAAGTGGAAAGACATTTTTAGAATTCACTAATTCTTCACAGTTGATAGAACGTCACAATAGTTTCAGAATATTGTCAGAGGTCGGTTAATTGGGGAGATGCTAGTTTTTAAATCTCAAATTCTCTCCATGTATCTTGTTTGGGGTTTTGTTTCCAAATCATGAAATTCTAAAGTTTATTCAAAACAAAAATCGTACTCTTTTTGAACTTTGGTAGGATTTGCAACTTTTGAGTAAATTCGATTTGAAAATTGAATTACATGTCACAACACCATGAGAATACCAGAAGGATCAGTATTGGATGAAAATTAATAATAAATCTATAACTAATGAATGTAATTCTTTACAAACGATGAGATTTTCACAAAAGTCTTGAAGAAATCTCATAGTTTGTGAAGTTTTTACATTTCCTATGGATTTTCATCAAGTAACGGCCGAGTCGATAAAAAAAAGAAAACTAATAGTTGCATTATTATCAGTTGTGCTCCAAACCATCAATTTACTTATTGGTATCATACTTGATGAGTAACTTTGTTCTCGTTTTTTCTAACAAATTGAAAACAGAATTGCTAATTGTAGAATGGATGTATTTTTTTAGTTATCATGCTAGGGCGAATATTCATTCTCCAATATTGCCAACAAAGCACCCGGATAAGGAAAGAGATGCCTATCAAGCTACCAGGATCAAAAACAATGAGGACCTCAACGTTAACCAAATTATTAAGGCTGTGTGAATGTGATGCGAAATTATACTAAATCAAGAGATATATCTACCCACTCATGTTTGTCTTGTGTTCATTAATAAATATATCCCTTTGATATTACAGATTATTAAAGAATTATTTGAACTATTGAATGGCGTTTTTGTGTTTATTTCAAAAAATATTCATTCGCAAACAAAATTGAGACACCAAATGATAGTGAACCTATATTATTTTCAAGTGATTATAATTTTCATTTTTGCAATATCTACGAATGTTTTCATTTTTGTAAAAGAGAGGAAGAAGTGATATCTTGTAGAAAGAAACCTGTAACATGTCAAGTTTATGATGAAAGCAACTTTTACTGCTGCTTTGTTCTTGAAATTGTGGTCCATTCCTTCACAATTTAGGAGCATGAAAATCTTTCCAGAAAATGACTCCTATCTATAGTGGCCCTAGCTATTACCATTTGAACATTTTTTGGGGATGATATCCTCACATGATGTTTTTGTATTGAAATAATGATATGAAGTTTTACACTTGTGTTTCTTTTTTTTTTTTTTTTTCGTTTATTCAATATACAAATTGAGTAAAACGGCGTTCCATATGTATCGTAGGATTGCTCCCGAATTTTAATTCGTACAAATTTTGAGTAAACATAATATATATATGCATATGGTTCAAAATTTTGATCACCAGCTTTATCTGTACCGATTGAATATCAGTAAATAGTAAATCAAAAGTTTTGGCCGATAATAAAAATGATAGTTTTCGACACAAAAACAAATCCTAAAGTTGAAAAATATCGATTATTTTGAACACCCTATATCTCTGTAATCATTTCCGATAGACCCCAAGTTTGATGTATCGATGAAATCAGCTCTTCAGGGATAATCTAAAAATGTAATGAAATACAGGGTATTCTATTTGAACCAACAAAGTTGTTGCAACTTTTTGATAGAAGCGGCAACACTGGCATTGCTGAAATAATTTTAAATAAAGAGAGCGTATTGTAAAATATAAACATGCATATTTTCATGTATTTCTCCCGACTGATTCTCGATATAGAGATAGTGTAAGCTCGTCGTGACATATATACCTTGTATAACGAAAATTCATTGCATATTATATTATTTATGAAAACAAAAAAGGATGAACATGCCCTCGATCTATCTCTAAAATGTATATGATCTCAAAATTTTGTGAGAAATATATTTTTTATAATAATAAAAATAATATAATAATAATAAGATATATTTTATTAATGAAAAACTCCTTTTTTTAACTCGTACACCCTATATCTCAGAAACGACGCATTTTAGGACCCATGTTCATGAGAACTTTTTTCAGTTTTTTCCATATTATTTTGTTGACTCTGAAACACCCTGTATATATACGTACATAGGTATTTATCACAATTTTACTATTTTCGGATTGTTTTCGGCACGCATACATACTGTTAATTTGAATTCTTAGTTCAGTCCCCTAATTAACGAACTCATAGCGAAGTAGTTCGAATGTACATCATATCAAGGACAAGGATATTAAAATCAGAAGAAGATTTCCCGCGAATGTGACACTAATTGAAAAACCGTTAAGAAACAACAACAACACAAATGGTAAGGAAGTGAGTTGGTTTGTGCGAATGCGAAGAAGGTGACAAACATAAATCAACTAAATACTCTAGTCTTACAAATTACCAAATTGTTTAATAGAAATTCATTCAAAGGCCTTATCACCATTTTGTTATTATTATCTCGTGCGTCTTTGAAGATACAAGGTGTCAGTCAGTATGGTTATATAAATTCAGTGTACTAATTGAAATCAAATTTCACATTAACTAATTTCTTCATTTTTGCATTTAGATGGCTTCTCCACATAAAAAACTGCGATTATCGCCCAAAACTAGTACATTGAGTCCAAGGTTAACACAAGATTCAAGAATTACCAGTACCCCCAAGAGGTCTACTGAAAATGTAGTTTCTCCAAGCTTTTCCACAATATCTTCCAGCAGTGGCAGATCAATGAGAAAACGGCTTTCTGATGTTTTTGAGGCACAAGAAAGTAACAGTAACAAGAGTAGTCCATCCTCTAAATCTGGAGAAAATGATCAAACTTCAGTATCATCCAGATCATTTACCACTCCCAGTAGAGGTTCTGAGACAGAAGCCCTGATAGGTAAGTGCATCAGATCATTGTGTGTTAGGAATTACAAAATTTTGATACTTTTTAATGCATGGTAGATACACTGTGTCCAAGATAAGGATGTATATCATGGGAATCATTTTTATTTGAAGAGAAATAGGAAAACAAGAGACACTTTCTCATTTCCCATTTTCAAAGCACTACAAAACAGCAAAATGAGAGATTTTCTGTATGGAGTTTTGTTTTGGAGAACCAATCATCAACTTTACCCCATGATAGGCATCCTTATCTTGGACACACTGTATAGGAAAGTACCAAGTTAATGAGTATTGTGGTGAAAAAAGTACCTATTATGGTGGAACCTGCAACATTTCACTGTCATAGATACATGTAGATACCTATATAGGTATAAATGACTATGCCTATACTTCATATACATCATCATCAATTATAATCAAATCATTGTCTGCTAAATGAGAAAGGAATATAGTCTGCTCTGGCCCTCTACATCAAACAAAGTAGGTACTTGTTATATTTTCACCATATTTCACTTCCCACTTTCTAACTTGGAGGTAAAACTTCACAAATAAAATTCTAAAAATAAGTAGGTTAATGTCATTAATATAACTACTGAGTAAAACTGGGACTTACAACAAAGGTACCTATAATCACCTACACAAATATTGAATTTATTTCTGAATTATATAATTATTTTGAAAACAAAATTTCAGATGACTATGATGCCTACTTTGATGAAACACTCAGAATCAAATATACAGGAACAATTTGGGAATTATATAAACCATTGAACAAACATACTCTGTATGCCAAGATTTTGGATGATCCTTGTAATACTCAGGTAGGAATTAACAAGTCTTATACATAGAAGACTTACTCAGCTTCTAACAGTCAAGAGGGAAACTGCTGATAGGTTTATATTATAATAGGTCAAGTGCTTCCAGTAAAGTCCTCTTCATTATGTTGCTCAATTTAGGTATGCAAAATTTGACCTTGATTCAGAAATTAGGCATTGAAAACAATTGAGGGATGATTATTGAAGGTCCGGTCAGCTCTTCATACCTCAATGTGGTAATTTTGCAAACAAATATAGTGTATATAGTTCTTGCAATTTCTATATTTTTTCAAATACAACATTTTCAGTTCTGGAATTTTGCTTTGCTTTTGAAAATAACAACGACTACAAGAAAGCTTCAATAAACCTTCATTTACAATTCAATTTACAGAATGGAAAATAGTGATTATGATGATTTCAATGAAATTTTCTAGGTTTGTTAAAAACAACCTAATGAGGTATATTTTGGACCTAGTAGTTGATCTAGGTATTCCAAAAGTGTACCAATTGGGCAAGACAATTCAAATTTTGCATAAAAATTTTTAGTTTTGTGCAAGATCTATATTTTTCAAATTCAGTAACTTTTTGACTTTTAATTTTCTCCGTTTCTTTGTTTTTGCAAATGATTTGAAAATTTGAGTCAACTAGAGCCAAATGAGAATGTTAGAAATGTTGAAAAAATGTCTTCATATTGAGGAAATCATGAAAGTTTCAGTACATTTTTTTACTAAAATGCATAGGCAGGTACTTATTATTGATTCATAAATTGGCAAATAGTAAATAAGGTATCTAATTTCAGAACATTGAACCAGTTAATCATAAGAGAGGTATGATGTCAAGTCCAGAGCAACTTAGATATAAATTTCATCCTTTGTTAATTTATTTCAAATTTATGATTTTGGAGAATATAAGAATTCTGGTAACTATATTGTCAAGATTAGTCCTATCTTCAATGACCAAAACGGTAACTTTAATCCAAATAAGAAGGTGCTGCCTATGGAAAAACAGTTAATAGTAGTATGATTAAACTAGACCTAAACCCAAACATCCAAAAGAAAAAGTTGTCTCCTGCACCAAATTGTTTTGTCTACTCCTCTGAAATTCTGATTCTTTTTATAAATTCATGGGGAGGCAAAAATAATTCAAATATTTAATAATCTCAATAATATTTTTTTACGAAGAGAGAAACTCAAAGTCATTACCACAACTAGTTCATAAAATGAACGACAAAATGGTAGATAACGAGAGAAAAACAACTACTTTCCTGCATTACATCCTCCCGAAACCTATGCCATAGTTCGTATCAATGTTCTGCGTGGCATATAGCCAGGAAAGTAGTTGTTTTTCTCTCGTTATCTACCATTTTGTCGTTCATTTTATGAACTAGTTGTGGTAATGACTTTGAGTTTCTCTCCTCGTGACCAATGCATTCCACTTTGAGTATTTGGCTTTTTCCCTAGTTGAATATTTTTTTATATGTATAATCACCAGATTTTCAATTAGTAGTAGGATTTTGAGAATCTTGAAATCAAATGTATTGTATACACTATGTATATGATGATGTATGTATCTCATATAAATTATACATTGTGTATCTAAATAACACCGAAAACATTCAAGGAGTGGTTCTGTGATGAAAATGAAGGTAGGTATTTGTTATAAGTTTTTTTGATAAACCTCTCCACGAAAAAGTTACACTCCTCCGAGGATTGAAGAAAAAATGTCTTTTTGGTTTACCCACGGTATCCTATTGGAATTCTACTGGAATCCCATGAAATCCCACTGGAATTCCACTGAAATCCCACGGAATCCCACTGGAATCCCACATGCCTGAACACCATAATTCCAATGTGGTTTACTCCTTGATATTAACCAATCAAAGTGAGGGGCAATGCTTCTCTATAGTTTTTTTCCAATGCTGTCTTTTCAGTTGGAATGGACTATAGTAAGGTTTGCCAACTACTTCAAATATATTTGAAATATCATACAAAAATCAAACCAGCTATCTGTAGATAATCAACATCCTTTGATTATCATGGTGAAACTACTAAGAAAAAGTTTTTCTGCTCCTTAACAAGCCCAGATTTTCCTCTTGATTGTTGTGTGCCAAAAAGCTATGTCCGATAATGTTCTTTTTTCTGTGACGGGAAAAAAGTTTGGCATTTCATCTCTGTTGGCAGGTTATAAAATGTCACTTTTCATAAATTACTTTTTTCCCGTGGGAAAAAAGTGAGTACTTTTTTCCCGGATATATATCACATAATATACACTGTTGATGGCTTTTGTTGTGCCATAGTTCCGAAAAATGAGTCAATAATACCGTCTCCGAGAAAGAACTGCAAGTCCTTTTATCTTCCATTCGACTTTGCGGTTACGTATATTACTTAACAACTACTAAATTCGCGATTTTTCAAAATCAAATCACAGAATTAGACTGACAGAAGTGACATCAGATATTTGATTACTTCAAAAGAATGATAAAGATGCCTACAACGTAGGTGTCCCTACTGTTAAAAACTTAAAATTTCACGTCGATAATTTTCAGATTTCAAAATAATGTAATATCTTCTCAATATTGAGTCGTACTTTCTTCTATCACAGAAAAAAATAGTGTATTATACACGGAAAAAATATTAGATTTTAGCTCACACAATCTGGAGCCAAAATCTACTACTTTTTTCCCTTTTATAATAAATAACTATTAATATTCGTTGTAGGATATTGTAACTGAACTCTTCATGCTATATAACCAGAAGCCACAGAAAGCTGTTCTTAGTATTATTCAATTTTGTGTAGATGTCGCTGGATTCCAGAACTATGATGTATCAGCTTTTAGTTTCAAAGACAATGATGCTAAAGTAATCATTGATTCACTAGAAGAATTCGATAAACCCGAAATTTTCGAAGTATGATTTAATATATTGTTGATAATCATGATTTTATGCTCAATTGTTTTTAGTCTACTGGCAGGTATTTACTTATGGAACCTAAAACAGATCTTGCCAAAACACTCAAGATGGCAATATACAACTTTATTAACAAGTTAATTCTAACTGCCCATGATAAATGCATTTTATATGAAGAAACTTTTTCGAAAAATGTTTGTTCTTTTTTGAAATGTATGTCGTTCAGCAATCTGAAAGCAGTTCGTCACACAGGAGTGGTTATTGGTAGAAGACATGTTCTCTTCGGAAAATTCGAAATTCAACTACCTATTGATTTTTTTATAGGTATGAAAATTCTCACTGCTCTAGTTATTACTTGTGATAAAATTAATCGAGAATTGAAAAACTTGGTGCGGGACCCCAATATTTCTGCTGATTCCACTGTCAGTCAAAAAAGAGAACAACTAAATGCATTCAATAATTTATTGGAATATTTCTACTTTATTTTTATAAAAAATTAGTGAGTACTTACCTTATTTTATGACTACCCAGTGCTAGTAAGTCATTCATTAATCAATTTCCAGCCACATACAGGATAGCTCAATGATTGACATGAGAATAGAATGTCTTAAGGAATTACAGATTTGGATGAAACTGAATCCAAAGATGTTCATTACCAACTTGCAAGCTGTCGATTACCAAATGAAAATGATTATTGATAGGGTAAGCACTAGCCATAAATTGATACTTTTTTCTGGAATATTGTCACGATAGAATAGTGGTTTCCACCATGTCATGATATAATAGGTGGTTACAGTCCATCCATATCGATTTATAAGGGGTTTGCTTGGCTTAATAGTTTGCGAGAGGTTTTATTCTAATAGGCACTAATAGTTTAGGGGTAACTGAAAGTGCGAGACTTTATTCAAACATAACAATTTGTATTATAACATGTAACATTATGGGTAGCAATGACAAATATGAATAACCAACAATGAATATAAAGAGCTAATAACAACTTACATTATAATGACCATTACGACGAGCTCTTGTCAAGTCAAGAGTAGCCCCAGACCAGACTAACTTCGGAACCCTCACATCCAATATTTATATACATCAATTTATTAGATTCGCACTTTTCTCATGAGAGTTCCTTGGCCAGCTCTCATAATTCAATGTCAACGGATGATTCGATTAAATTTATGTTTATAAAACCCTCATGGTTCTAAATTACTAATATACTCGTGACATGACCCCTCTCTCCGAGAAAACTGAACCCCAGTTTTGAAATTACTACCTAACTAAAGATATCGAGGAGAAACATATACCTAAAATACGTAAATGACAAAAAACAATACACCTTGGAAATTGAGTTCACACACTCAAAAGTTTAGTGTCTACAATGCACATATTGATCAGACTGTTCTCGGTGGGACTTCTGGCAGCTCGGGGGTAGAGAATGACGACTGGACATGGCATCCTCCCAACGTCATGGAAAGTTCGGCAGGATCCTTTTGGGCTCGAAGGTATCCTTGTCCTGGGCATCGGGATGGAATCTTTTGGACTTTAAGATTTCCTAGACTGTCCTTCGAGGTAGTTGGCAGCTGAACGAAGAAAACTGCTGGCTTCTTAGGTAGCGAATGACGACTGATGGTCATCCTTCCATGAGGGTTTTATAAACATGAAGTTAATCAAATCATCCGTTGACATTGAATTATGAAAACTGACCAAGGAACTCTCATGAGAAACGTGCGAATCTAATAAATTGATGTATATAAATATTGGATGTGAGGGTTCCGACGTTAGTCTGGTCTGGGGCTACTCTTGACTTGACAAGAGCTCGTCGTAATGGTCATTATAATGTAAGTTGTTATTAGGTCTTTATATTCATTATTGTCATTGGGTCATTGCTACCCATAATGTTACATGTTATAATACAAATTGTTATGTTTGAATATAGTCTCGTTCTTTCAGTGACCCCTAAACTATTAGTGCCTCTCGCAAACTATTAAGCCAAGCAAACCCCTTATAAATCGATATGGAAGGACTGTAACCACCTATTATATCGTGACATGGTGGAAATCTCTGTTCTATCGTGACAATATCATCGCACTTTTCAGTCGAAAGATGTCAGATTTGCTGCTTTAGTGGCATGTGAAGGACTCCTAAAATCTTCTGGCGTTGTGAAATTTCTAGAACCAATCAAACAAAAGTTTTGTGATACTATTAGTAAAAGGTTCTATGATATTGACTACAAAGTGGCAGTCAAAGCAATAGACATTTTTACCATAATGTTGAGATGGTAAGTGAGGTATCCATACATAAATGTCGACCATGCATCACCAGAAGGGTACCTATTTTTCAGGGATGAACATTTCATATCTGCTGATACAGTGAAAGTGATGACTCATTTAGTGTTCGATAATATTTTCCCGATTGGTGCTGCTGCCTGTAGATTTCTTGTGACTCTCTTCCAGGAGTATACACCAGAAGCCACACTAGAAGCTCTTGCGAAAATATATATGAAGGTGACTATTGAAACAATGAGGAAAATAATCTTATAAGTATTGTTTATCATTATTACCCAGGAACCAAGATTATATCCCGAATATTTGTTCCAGTACTAGCAATGTTTCTCAATCATTATAGTTGAGTAGAACTACAAAAAGTGTTTTCAAAGCACATAATATGAATTCTCATAAGAATTTAGCAGTCATTTTCGGTGTCAGGGATTATGGCGGACGAGTTTTTCAAATTATGATCTTATTCTATTCAAAATTGGTATCTATTATGAATCTTTCGTCAAAATCAGGAAATTCAAGATGGCGGATCCAATATGGCGGACGAGTTTTTCAATTATGATCCGATTCTATTCAAAATTGGTATCTGGGGTTTTCGGAGTCAGGGATCATGATTCTTCCTCAAAATTTGGAAATTCAAGTTAGCGTATTCAATATGGCGGACGAGTTTTTTCAATTATGATCCGATTCCATTCAAAATTTGTATCTGGGCCTTTTTGGGATCGCAGATTTTGATTCTTTTGTCAACATTTGGAAATTCAATATGGCGGATCCAATATGGCTGACCGATTCTATTCAAAATTGGTATCTGGGGGTTTTCGGGGTCGGAGATTATGATTCCTTCATCCTTCATGGCGAATGAGTCCTGTAATTATGACCCAATTCTATTCAAAATTTGTATCTCGGTCTTTTTGGGGTAGGAGATTATGATTCTTTTGTCAAAATTTGGAAATTCAATATGGCGGATCCAATATGGCTGACCGATTCTATTCAAAATTTGTATCTGGGGGTTGTCGGAGTAGGAGATTATGATTTGTTCTTCAAAATTATGAAATTCAAGATGGCGTTTATAATGGCATATAAAAAAATATTTTCTAGAGATAATGTTTATGTCAAAAGAACGTTTGCAGGTCAGCTAGTTGTATTATATGCTATTCTTTCCCTTCCATATTTTGGTTGATGTTAGGGTGGTTAAATTCTCGCATGCAGATATCGAAATATCGCATTCTATTATGAATTTAGATCCATAAGAATTGGCAGTCTTTAGGAACCACTAGTTGATGAAATGAGAATACTCAATTGGTGAAAAAACTAATTCATAATATACTGAGTTCTCTCATTTCGGCCATTAGCATGCAGATCTCGGTTATATTAAAAGTTACGAAGTCTGTTGAGGGTGAAGTTGTGCATTTTTGTGCTAAAAGATACACAATTTTACGATTTTTTTGAAAAAATTTGAAACTCCGATTTTTTCGATTAAATATTTATACAGTTTTCATTTATATTGATTTTTTCCTCGAATATGAAAATAATGAACTTGAAAAATCACCTTTATTTATTATTTTTCTGCCATGAAAATTTTTGCCAGCGTAACCTTTAGTCGGCCAATACAGTCAGAGGTAAATTGCGTGTTGCGTGATATGAGTTCTGTTTTTGCAGCAATCTCTAATTTGATTCAAATCACGATTGGAATTGAAAAAATCAGTTGATTTGATCCATGATTGAAATCATTTGAATCGTCGCAACCCTGACCCGACCTACAATGATAGACCTCATTGTTGGTCTGCTCAGGGTTACCTGAAATGAGGTCTAGTTGATCGTTAAAAAAAATTGATATTAATATTTGGCGTTTGTTGATTTCTGACGATTCCAGATGATTGAGTCTCATTCGATCATCTTCAGTACTCTTATTCATGATATTATGTCGATACCAGAAATATGTCCAGAAACATGATATTTCATATTACTTTTGAAAATACAGTGTCACTTCAGTGGGTCCTTTGTGATTTGCCTGTCAAATATTTCCACAAAGTTAGAATATTTTCTTATAATTTTCAGCAGAAAAATTGCATTGTTCAATTGCTAGTGGAAGGGTTCCTCCATACTTGCCCTGAAATCCAGAACTGGACCTTGTATTGTAAGGTCCTTCTTACTGGTCCAGATGACCGATTGCAGCTCAAAGAAGCAATATCTGACATATTTTCGGAAGCTGTGAGCCAAACTTTGACTGGAAAATCATCGAAAATGAGAGTCCTATCTAGAACAGGTACATTCGGAACACGCTGCTTCAGTTGATATTGCTCATAATTTTTGAATTTCAGTTGTTGATATCGAATCGACAGAGTATCAGAAAATAGCGAATTGTTTTCCTTCTTTGAACAAACTATTACAGATGTATGGGGACCATCCAAAGGTTCTAATTAGTTTGTTGAAAATTTTTCCTTTGGTAAACACAAATATTATAACTGGAAATTATTGCGAGGTAAGATGAATAAAATTATGGTATCAATTGAAGATTAACCTTTGGATTTGTGTTTAGATTATTTCTCTTGTCAGAAACTTTTGCCTTACAGGAGACACTTAGCAGCTTCTAATTCAAAGGAAGGAAGGAATGCTCGAAGTCATTCCTTCTTTCCTTCGAAAAATTTCACTCTACTTTGTGCAATATGGACTTCTACCAAAGATTAGTTTCTAATTCGTTTAATGATTGAGATTAACACTAGTTCTTTTTTACACCTATTGCCACTAGGGTCCAGTGATGCAAACTGACATATTTGTCATCTCAACATTCTTAACAGGGTCATATCCTTGTACCTATCCTCTCACTCTAAAGTGGTTGCGAAAAAGTTATACCGGGTGGCTACGGAAGTATTGCCTACGGAATATCTCAGTTATTGTATGAAGTAGATTTGTGAAATTTGGAGCGTCGATATAATGACATAAGAGCTAGAATTTTAGCATATTGACATGTTGAAGTTAACTTCCGGTCTGACCGGAAGTAACATCCACTTTCTTATTTTAAATGGAAACCCTATTTTTTTTCTTTTCGCTTTATTTAGCATTCAATTGCCTTTCTAATGACATATCACAAGTTGGTATCTTACCAGAAACTAGATCAGAAAAAAAATATTATTTAAATTCACCGAGTAGGCCGTGGAAGCAAAATGAAAGCCAAAAAATGACTTTCTATTATATCATTAGAAAGGAATGGTTATGCTGAATAGTACAGGCAAGAAAAAGTTGTATGTTCCTATTTGAGTTGTGGACCTACAGAGTATTGTTTTTTTTTTCCAATGTTTCCAATATTTTTTTTGGCGGCTTTTTATAACGCCGACGAATGAAAATAAAATATCACAGTAGTAGCAACTGTCATCAAGTGACGTATGGTTTCCATAGCCAACTTCTCAATTTTTTGCTTTCATTTTGCTTCCACGGCCTACTCGGTGAATTTCAATAATAATTTTTTTTCTGATCTAGTTTCTGGTTGGATACCAGCTTGTGATATGTTATTAGAAAGGGAATTGAATGCTGAATAAAGCGAAACGGAAAAATAATAGGGTTTCCATATAAAATAAGAAAGTTGATGTTACTTCCGGTCAGACCGGAAGTTAACTTCGACATGTCAATATGCTCAAATTCTAGCTCTTATGTCATTATATGGACGCTCCAAATTTCACAAACCTACTTCATACAATAACTGAGATATTCCGTAGGCAATACTTCCGTAGCCACCCGGTATAACTTTTTTGCAACCACTTTAGAGTGAGAGGATAGGTACAAGGATATGACCCTGTTAAGAATGTTGAGATGACAAATATGTCAGGCTATATTGAGGACATTGGCGTATCATACGTAATTTCCACACATGGAATTCCTTATTCAACTTTACATCTTATGCTTGTTCGTTTGTGTTTGCTCAATCTGCTAAACTTGATTTTTTTCTATTACTATCTCTTTTTACATTGTGCGATGAAATGAGATGACAATGAAAAAAAAATCAACTTTAGCATGTTTAGCAACACAAACGAGCATACCTTTTACCTATCATATCCAAATGATGATCAATAATTTTTGAGTTTTCGATTTTTCAACTCCAGCATAATCTTTGTGAGGTAGTGAGCATAAATGTTTCTGAAAGTTTAATATGTTTTACCAAATGGGAATGTTCTTAGGCTGTACCTATAATACCGGGTTGCGATTTTACTAAATATAAACTATTGCAGCACAAACCACGCCCACCATAATACGTCATATCTCATACTGTGCTCCAACGCAAGAACTGAAGCTTTCTCGTTGTCAATCTCTTGTACGCAGTAAATTCATACACCCAAATGGTCTACTGGTTAGCGCTGTCGACTCTCAGTCTGAAGGTTCATGGTTCGAATCGCTGTGAACTCGAACTTTTTTTTGCAACTTTTTTTTTCACCAATGTTTTTTTACTTCATTCTGGTTTTCCTTTTTCATAAAATATTTGAAGTCAAATAGGTTAGTGCGTTTAGGATAAACAGTCTCATTTTATTCAATTTTGTTGAAGAACTCAACTTTTGAAATATATTATTAATCAATGTGTTTCTACACTCCATTCGGTTTTCCTTCCTCAAAAATATTGCAATCAGGGATAGGTTAGTTCGTTGAGGATAAATAGTCTCTGAGTTTTGCCTAAGTAAAGTACTTTGAAGATGAGATATAACGTGGTATGTGCTACTTTTTCAATCGATTTATTTATATGAATCAGCTACGTTGTGCTGTCAAAGATTAGATTTTGCAGGATTGTGCTGGGCTCGATTATATTTTGCAATGCCGTAGTAGGGGGCGTGTCTTGTGCTGCAATAGTTTATATTTAGTAAAATCGCTACCGGGTTCGTCAAGACGAGCTTACACAATCTTTATATCGAGAATAAGTCGGAAGAAATCCATGAAAATGTGCGTGCTTATATTTTAGAATACGCTCTCTTCATTTATAATATTTTCGACAAGGCAGTGTTGCCGCTCCTACTAGAAAGTAGTAGCAACATTGATATCCCAAATGGAACACCCTGTATTTCATCGCATTTTTAGATTCTTACTGAAGAGCTGATTGTATCGATGTATCACAGTTGGGGTTTATCGAAAAAGATTACAGAGATATAGGGTGTTCAAAATCGAGATTTTTCAACTAAGGATTTTTTGTGTCGAAACTATTCATTATCGGTCCAAACAGCTCACATGTCCCAATCTCAACTTGAAATTCACCATTTAATATTTAATCGAAACAGATAATTGGGCAAATTTGTGTTCATTTCCATTACTTCTATAAGACTATAGAAAGAAATCAGCAATGACATTCACTGAATTGAATGATGACAGCAATATTCAACAAATGTCAAAATATCAACAAATGCCATGCCTACCATGAGAAGAAAAATGGAAAAGAGATGCTAGGAGCAAAGAACCGCTTTTTAAAATCGATTTTCCATTATAATAAGATGATTTTTTTGCGGAAAATAACATCCATTTGAGGTTACCATTTGAACAGGAAAAGTTGAGACAGGATGCCAAAAAAAACCGTAGAAAACACTATTAGCAACTCATCATCTAGCTGCTTTCTTATAATTTCATACTGATATTTTGGTTTTTGTTTTCTCTTACAGGAATATTCAAAACTTTCAATTACCAATCAAATATTATTCGACCACCATACCGATGAGGATTTACTGAATAAAATTGCAGAAGCTTTATTTCATTTTCGCAATGTAGCAGATTTTGCGGAAAGAGCATGTAGAATAACAGAAACATTGGGTACTAAACATACTGCAGAATTGAATACTTTCGCAAAACGAGCGGTGAGTTACAAGTTATCGATTTATGTATCATCTAATTGTCAACATTTTTTCAGAGTTCAAAAACTTGCTTGGCAGCCAATAAAGTAGCAATTTTGTACGCCCATATGGATTTAAATGCAAAGTTTACATGGGAAATTTTATCTGAATCATGTTCAGATGCAAATGAGCAGGTGAGTAGATCATTTCCATTTCAGAAATAATGTTATATTGATCTTTCCATGTATATACAATCATGATATTTGATGCATTCACTTATTATTGAGTCATTACAGATACTTCTTTCATTGATCCCTCCAGGGGTAGTTGAAACCACTCTGAACTTTTTTTTTTAATGCAAATCTACCGCTTGTTACCACTCATTGGAAAGCTGGTGGGTGGAAAGAGGAATACAGCGTACTGGATCGCGGGTACTGGTCAAATTTTAGTTTTTTCTTTTTTTCGTTCAAGGGTTGCATAAAATTGAAATGTAATTCTAGAATTCAATTTATTTTCAACGTAACAATTGCTCAAATTTCGTTTTTTTGTCGTATTCACAGTTCGAAACAAAGTGTTTTTGCAAACTGGTGAAAATGCCTTATATCACTATCACTGAAAATCGAAAATTGCTTATAATAAGGGATCCCGCACTAAACTATAGGGAAAATGGTTCTCGATGAAAATCGCTGAATTTTTGGTATGTTGCAGATATTGATATATTCCATTGAACGAACCTCAAAAAATGGACAGTTTTTCCGATATAGACCTCCAAATGTAATTTTTTCGAGAAAAAGAAAGAATCTGAAAATGGTTGAATTTTTGGCATGTTGTAGATAGGAATGAACTGATGAAAAAATCCAATAGACCTAACCTCCAAAAATTGACAGTTTTCTCGATATTGACCTTCAAATGTAATTTTTTCAAGTAAAAAAATCTCTGAAAATGGCTGAATTTCTGGTATGTTGTAGATATAGGAATGAACTGATCAAAAAAACCAATTGACCTATCCTCAAAAAATTGACAGTTTTTCGATATTGACCTCAAAGTGTACATATGGAAAATAAGATGAATGGAACGATAATCAATTAATCATTCCAGAATTACGTCATTTGACAGGTTGCTGAGGGGCAAACATTGTATTTTGTCAAGATTTGTCATATGAAACCAGAATTAGTGGAATCGTTTCCCTTGGAATCGGAGTTGGAACCAGAAAGAATTTCATAATTTTGTTTAGTGAAACGGTTATATATACTGTGGACATGGCAGGGATGGCCAGGGCTATGCTCATCAAAGGTAACCTAACAGATAGTTTGTGTTCTGGAATGTTGAATAGACAAAGTTGCTGTTTTCGAATTAGTATTTGGCATTTCATTCTTCTAAAAACAAATCTTTTTCATATGATACATCCACAGGTGAAGAATACCGAAGAGAGGATGTAATGAAATAACTATTATTTAAAACACGGTTATAGTCTTGCCGAAATCAATGGGGTTGTAGGTATACACACTAGTCGAATTTATGCCAAAAATATCTATTTTATTTTGATCATTCCATCTATTATAAGCGTATTCGATAGACTCATGCATTACTTAAAATAATTCCAAATATATTTCAATAAAACTGTCAATTTTTAGAGGTTAGGTCAATTGGATTTTTAAATCAGTTCATTCCTATCTACAACATGCCAAAAATTCAACCATTTTCAGATACCTACTTTTTTTCTCGAAAAAATTACATTTGGAGGTCAATATCGAAAAAACTGACCATTTTTGGAGGTTAGTTCAATGGAAGATCTGTTCAGTATATCAAAGTCTGCAACATACCGAAAATTCAGCGATTCTCATCGAGAGCCATTTTCCCTATAGTTTAGTGCGGGGTCCTTTGTTTAAATAATAATTAATAATAATTCACAATGGAGGACGTTTGGTCTGTTGAACGTGACAACACGGTAAAGATTGTGAGCGTTGTCTTGTCAGTTCTGAGGATTCAGCACATGTTGCCTTGGAATCTAATATTATAAAGAGGAAAGATTAGTTTGTCTGTTTGTTTTTGTTTGTTTGTTTGTTTATTTATTCGAAAAATTCTGTCACTATTAGAAGTCGACATTATCCCTGATGAACATAGGCTACTTTTTGCCGCGGGAAAATGCTTCATTCCTACGAGAAAACGGATAATAGGACAATGGCTAGTAAGAAGTATGCCTCGGTACTTAGCTTTTTCACATAACTTCTAAATGGCTGAACCGATTGGGTTGAAATTTTATATGTGACATTTCCGTGGTGTTCCGTGACATTTCCAAGCCGGCCTGTGATTGGCTAGTCGGGTCACGTGGTTTGGAGAAAGGTGGAGGGGAGGGGCTGGACTAGACTCCGGGACTACCTACTAACTATAATATCATTGCCTCCTCCTATCAGGTCGAATGAAATATTCAATTTCGATTTAGTTTTATCGACGACAGGACTCTTTACAACTTTCAAATAACTTGATTATGATTGGTGACTTGGCAACATTGCTTCATGAGTGGGAATGGAAGATTATCTGACCAATAAGGAAACAGCATAACAAAGCATGGCCAAACGCGGTGGCCGTGACGGCACGATTGAAATGACCTCTGAAATTCAACAATTTAGAACAACGCAGACACATTATACAGTGCTTTGCTTTTATATCCCTCCCCCCTTTATTTTTTGAACGGATCAACTGAAGAAATTGAAACTTGTGATGCATGATGCATGAATACTATATTTTGGAGTTGAATTGACATATGAAAATTTCAAGATGGCGACTGGGCTCATTTCCGGTCAAACCGGAAGTGGGGCAAGGCAAGTAAATATGTCAAAAAAAATTAGTTGAACACAACCCCTAAATTTCGTTTTTCCATTTTAAAATGATGAAAAAGTTATAAGGGTATGGTAAGGTAAATGTTCTTCAAAAATCTCTGCTATCATTCCATCACTAGCAATACAAGTCAGACGAACTCGACAAGCCCAGTCAGCGCATCCTTTCGTCGTCAACCTTTGAAAGTATTCCCAACAACTTATAACCTCCAAAAGTTCCCAATACCTACCCACTCTTCTTATCTTTCCTAGGTACGCACGATGTACTCCGAGCATTATAGGGATTCCATTTTGTGCGCTCCAAAAGATAAACAAAAATTGCATGGCTAATCTCTGTGAACACCTTGTATATGATCATCATTTTGTTACAGACTGCAGTTCACCTCATGACATGTTGTGCTTGGTTCCTCATCTGGAACCTGAGGAGCATGTCGGAAATTTCTCAGAAACGCCAACAGAAAGAACTGCCTGGACTTTTCATCCTGCATAATCGAACTTGCAATGAATTCACTGATATGTGTTTCAAAACGCTGGAATATTTGAAAGGTCAACCGTTTCATTTTAAGGTACAGTGCTCACTGATATACCAAGTACAGTGTGTGCTTTTGCGTGATATCTCAGTTATCTTTCGAGATAGAACCTTGCGGGTTTTGCGGTCCTGTGCCACTTTTTTGTGAAACTCAAGATGACCTTATCAGATTTTGCATAACTGTTTCCGTTCATGAGATACAGGGCGATTTTGAAAATTTATACTTTTTGGACCCCCTCTATATCTACGAAGTGTCTCAGCAAAAATGTCAAACTAGAATCTCATCCCATAGAGAATTTCACGCAGAATCCAGTGAACAACCGTTTCATTTTAAGGTACAGTGCTCACTGATATACCAAGTACAGTGTGTCCAGTTTTCGATGCTTTTTCGTGATATCTTTGTTATCTTTCGAGATAGAACCTTGCGAGTTTTGCGAGTTTTGCGGTCCTGTGCCACTTGTGAAACTCGAGATGACCTTATCAGATTTTCCATAACTGTTTCCGTTTATGAGATACAGGGCGATTTTGAAAATTTATACTCTACGAAGTGTCTCAGCAAAAATGTCAAACTAAAATCTCATCCCATAGAGAATTTCACGCAGAATCCAGTGAACAATCGTTTTATTTTAAGGTACATTGCTCACTGAGCAGAGTGTCCAGTTTTCGATGCTTTTTCGTGATATCTCAGTTATCTTTCGAGATAGAACCTTGCGGGTTTTGCGGTCCTGTGCCACTTTTTTGTGAAACTCAAGATGACCTTATCAGATTTTGCATAACTGTTTCCGTTTATGAGATACAGGGCGATTTTGAAAATTTATACTTTTTGGACCCCCTCTATATCTACGAAGTGTCTCAGCGAAAATGTCAAACTAAAATCTCATCCCATAGAGAATTTCACGCAGAATCCAGTGAACAACCGTTTCATTTTAAGGTACAGTGCTCACTGATATACCAAGTACAGTGTGTCCAGTTTTCGATGCTTTTTTGTGATATCTCAGTTATCTTTCGAGATAGAACCTTGCGGGTTTTGCGGTCCTGTGCCACTTTTTTGTGAAACTCAAGATGACCTTATCAGATTTTGCATAACTGTTTCCGTTTATGAGATACAGGGCGATTTTGAAAATTTATACTTTTTGGACCCCCTCTATATCTACGAAGTGTCTCAGCGAAAATGTCAAACTAAAATCTCATCCCATAGAGAATTTCACGCAGAATCCAGTGAACAACCGTTTCATTTTAAGGTACAGTGCTCACTGATATACCAAGTACAGTGTGTCCAGTTTTCGATGCTTTTTTGTGATATCTCAGTTATCTTTCGAGATAGAACCTTGCGGGTTTTGCGGTCCTGTGCCACTTTTTTGTGAAACTCAAGATGACCGAATCAGATTTTGCATAACTGTTTCCGTTCATGAGATACAGGGCGACTTTGAAAATCTATAGTTTTTGGACCCCCTCTATATCTACGAAGTGTCTCAGCAAAAATGTCAAACTAAAATCTAATCCCATAGAGAACCTCTCGCAGAATCCAGTGAACAACCGTTTCATTTTAAGGTACAGTGCTCACTGATATACCAAGTACAGTGTGTCCAGTTTTTGATGCTTTTGCGTGATATCTCAGTTATCTTTCGAGATAGAACCTTGCGGGTTTTGCGGTCCTGTGCCACTTTTTTGTGAAACTCAAGATGACCTAATCAGATTTTGCATAACTGTTTCCGTTTATAAAATACAGGGCGATTTTGAAAATTTATACTTTTTGGACCCCCTCTATATCTACGAAGTGTCTCAGCAAAAATGTCAAACTAAAATCTCATCCCATAGAGAATTTCACGCAGAATCCAGTGAACAACCGTTTCATTTTAAGGTACAGTGCTCACTGACATACCATGTACAGTGTGTCCAGTTTTCGAAGCTTTTTCGTGATATCTCGGTTATCTTTCGAGATAGAACCTTGCGGGTTTTGCGGTTCTGTGCCACTTTTTAGTGAAACTAGATGACCTAATCAGATTTTGCATAACTGTTTCCGTTTATAAGATACAGGGCGATTTTGAAAATTTATACTTTTTGGACCCCCTCTATATCTACGAAGTGTCTCAGCAAAAATGTCAAACTAAAATCTCATCCCATAGAGAATTTCACGCAGAATCCAGTGAACAACCGTTTCATTTTAAGGTACAGTGCTCACTGATATACCATGTACAGTGTGTCCAGTTTTCGATGCTTTTTCGTGATATCTCGGTTATCTTTCGAGATAGAACCTTGCGGGTTTTGCGGTTCTGTGCCACTTTTTTGTGAAACTCAAGATGACCTAATCAGATTTTGCATAACTGTTTCCGTTTATGAGATACAGGGCGATTTTGAAAATTTATACTTTTTGGACCCCCCTTTTTTTTTTCGGGGTATGGTTTTGGAGATACGACTCAAGCTTACGATTTTCAAAAATGCTTCAAAATCACTAAAACATTGAATTTTAATAGTGGGCTATGGTTTTTTCTTATGAAAAGAGTTACAATTGAAGGAAAAATCACATTGATATTGACATCACCGAGTTTGATATCAATTGCATTTATTTCAATAGAGGAAAAAAATTGAAATCATTTGGGAAAACTTTATTGAAAACCAGTTTTTTCAGGACAATACGAGAAAATACGTATTTAGTATTCACATTTTTTCTATCAATCTATCTAGATAAGTTGAACCTGAGACCCTGTATTTTGTAGTAGTATTTTCAGTGTATCTTCTATTTAATGTAATAGGGTTATAATTTGGTGTGAAATGATTCAAATTGTAAAACAAATGATATGGAACCATAATTTTTTCATCTTTCAGGTCTACGAGTGTTTGTGTGATTTTTTCATAACTTACAGCAATGAATTGGGTCCTTCAATCAAATTCAACAAACAATTTGAAGATGTAAGACTGAGGGTAGATGATAAATCTAAGCAAAATACCATTATAGATTTCCTGGATAAACATATTCTAGTCAATAAAGAAAGTAAGGAAATGCCAAATGATGTAATTATATAATTTTTGCATGTTGCATTGAGTAGAGTTGATAAAAAAAACACCATCGACATTTTCGTGTACCGCTGGTGAGCCCTGTAACATTTGACTGGTTAATGTGTAACGTTCTGTATTTAGAGTAACCTCAATTTTGGATTTTCAAATGGTGGTATTTTATCACATTATTATTCAGGAGTTCATTATGATATAGATATTATTCTAATAATAAGGTTCGCCTTTTTGATTTTATGCTCCTAATTTTAACATCGAAAAATATTTCAGGTTTCATGAACATTATATTGATTCCATTTCTTATGATAGTAAAGATTGCAATCATGACACGTTGGAAAAATTGAAAGTTGAGTGACGCTTCTTTTCACTAATTAGCATTACAGAACTCGCTAATGCTCAATATGTCAAAAATTCTATGGCCACTTTTCATACCAAAGTCCCTAATAGTATATTATGTAACAAGTGTTATAAACGTCCTTTTAGTAACGAGTGTTTAATAAACGAGTGTCTAGAAGAGTTTATAAACGCGTTACATACTATGATTTTTCTACGAACTCCGAAAATTACATGAACATACCTGCAAATCCTGCTAACCTACAAAATAATTCGAAAGGAATGGGAATTGAGAACATAATACATGCAACTGCATGCAACCAGCGAGACACGTATAAGTGATATTGGTTGTAGATGTGTCCAGTCCATTGCTTACTAACCTTTGTTTCACGTTTATTGACATGCTTAGCGCAGAATAAATAAATTGTTCTCAAAGATGGATGCTTCATTTTTACACTTCTTGGACTTTCGTCTACTTTTCGCATATATTCTTAATGAAGAATTCTGATACAAACGAATATTGTTTGAATAATTCTGATACAAAATTCGAAAATAACAGTTGACAGTTGATACAATTGACAGGCCAAACATGTCTCAAATTACTGAAGCTGTGTTTAATGAACTGCGTTGCCATGGTGATGTGTTTGAAAAATCGTGTTGCCATGGTAACGTGTTTAATATTTTGAATTAATCACAGATCGACAATCCGTGATTAATCGATCATTAAACGTAGTACATATCCGTACGCTAAATGCCATTTTAGTTATGTGAGTAGAAAAATAATTCAATTGAAGTACCTAACTAACTTTACATCATGTCCACCAAACATCCATGAATATAACTATTTGAAATTTGTGTGCCTTATTGAGTAAGTAATAAGTAGTTGTAGTTAAGTAGTTAGCTTTATATAGTAGTAGTCATTGTAGTTGTAATACTAGTAGTAGTAGTAATAGTAGTAGTGTTAGTGGTATAATAGACCATCTCAGTATTACCCTCGTATGTACCTACCCAGGCAGCACCAGATTTAAATATTCCATGAATCTCCCCATCATATTCCGTTTGGAATATTGGAATATTCTAGGAATAATCTGGGGTATTCTAGGATACAAGATATTCATAGTATATGTCCAAGAAAATATTCTATACTGTTAGATTCTTGGGAACGGATAGCTATCACACCACACACACAAACACAATATACCAAATTTATTTCTCAAAATTATAATGTTAATATTGAACAAAAGCAGAACGGCAAATATTCCAAGCGACTCCATCCAATCTGACAACTCGAATGCCTTTCGATGAATCGACCGGTAGCGGTTGTGCTCACGTGATTCGACAATACACGTTTCTTATCAGACAAAACAAGTTGAATTTCAAGCAATGAGTAATCTACAGTTGGATATAAATTTAAGACAGTACAAAATAATTAACAAGTAGAATACATTTTCAAAATAGGAATATTCAGATAATACGCGGACTACGTCAAGAATAATATTTAGGATTATGAATGAATGAATGATCCTGGAATATGCCATTAAACATATCTATATGTATACATAAAAATGAAGGTTTGTCTGTATGACTGTAGAATCGTAAAACGGCTTGACCGATTTCACTAATTCTTTTTTGTTGTGTTTGTTATTGTCAGGAGAAGGTTCTTATGAGAAAAAAATTCAAGATGGCGGATCCAATGTGGCGGACGAGTTTTGTAATTATAGCCCGATTCTATTCAAAATTGGTATCTGAGGGTTTCTGGGGTCGGAGATTATGATTCTTTGATCAGAATTAGAGAATTCGAGATGGCGGATCTAATATGGCGGACAAGTTTTGCAATTATGTTTTAATATAGTATCATACTTTCAGATACCCCTAAACTATTAGTGCCTATTCGAATATTACCTCTCGCAAACTATTAAGCCAAGCAAACCCCTTATAAATCGATATGGATGGACTGACCACCTAGTATATCGTGACAATATAACTGGAATATTTATATTGAAATATTTCATGAATTTTCCAGGAATATTCAGTGGATTTTCGGAATACATTCCTGTTTTTCAGCAAATTTAGAGAATATTCTATGAATGTCCAGTGCTGTCTGGGTAAGAGATATCAACGTTTATATTGTTTGGATCTGTAAGTTATTTGTATGTTCCTACTAGTTATTATTAATTCTACAATTTCGTCATAATGATGTATTCTTAAAAGGAGTCTGTTGAAATAAACTGAACTGATAATTCAATCTGCACCTTTGTATCCTTTTTCCATATCACTAATTCAAATTTGATCCAGTCGATTGAAAATATGCCTTTGCATGCCAGAGTATCAAAATGAGATTTTTAGTGGGATATTTCTTTATTTCTTGCAGTGTCACTTGGTGAGCGTAGGAAACAAGTAGTGAGATTTGTTGATTTGGTGCATGTCGATATACTTCCTATAACAGTTCTATCGAACGTATTCAAATTATACCATGTAGTGAGTACACTCTGAAGCCTCTTCTTTCCTTGTCTAGTCAAATCTTTCCTTTCAGAACTTTAAGGAATACGGTCCCATAATAGAATCATCTTTGAAATGTATGGCTGATGATCCAGATGAAAACACAATTCTGTTTATGATTATTCATACTCTTGCATCCTGTTTCGAAGATATTTTGAAAAAACATCATGCCGTGGACATCAATACAGAAGAGGCGAAACATTTGCAGGTGAATAATCTTTCATCAGAACATCGAAAGATTGCTAGGTTCGAATTCCCGACAGAGCAAAAAATTCTTATTTATTTAACGAGTAAGCCTCGGCCGGAAATGATTCCGCACGATTCGCTGTTGCGTTCCAATTAACAGTGCAGCTCCCAAAGTGGCGTATGGAGTTAGTAACAAAGCCTACACAGAACACACATGGGCTGAAGGACCTCTCGTAAGGTCGATGGCAAGTTGGTATCTACAGGGTGGGCCAAATTGGACACTTTTAAAGGGAAAGACCAATTCTCAAACCAGATGGAAGAGAACTGATGTCGGGGCCTGAGGACTGATTCTCATGAAAAACTCAATGGTGAAATCCGCATATCGATGTCTCTCTTCGTTTCGGAGTTACAAGGTGTTTTTCAAACATTTTTGAAAAGTGGCTAAGATATTTTTTCTGGCAAGAATTGTCTTTTAAATAGCTGCAAAGCATTGAGTTCGTAATAGAAATTGTTCTTAGGGCACTGAAATCGGTCTTCCTATATCTATTTTGCAACTAGGTATATGGTCACTGATTTCACACATGGTTTTGGAAATGTTTTCGTGAAAACGAAGAATTTTTGCAAAAAAAGGGTTTTAGCCACTTTTCAAACATTCACATTTTTGAAAAACACCTTGTAACTCTGAAATAAATATAGATATCGATATGCGGTCTTCACCTTTGAGTTTCTCATGTAAATCGAACACACGGCCTACCCTGTACAGTACAGGCTGTCCAATTTTCGATGTCCTTACGGGATATCTCACTTATTCAAAAAGATAAACTTTCGCAGTTTTTGCAAACGTTGGCTACTTTTTTGTGAAATTCAACATACCGCAAACAAAATTTTCATAACTTGCTTTGTTCTTGAGATACAGGGCGAAATTGAAAAAGTTGCATTTTGGGACCCCCTTGTATCTCAGCTATCTTATTTCAACTTATCGAAAAAGTGAAAAATGTTGCTCATACATCTTTTCACGTCGAATTCACTTCAAAACTTTCAAAAGATAAGTAATTTCAATTTGCGCCAAAATAAAATCAAAAACATTGAATCAAAAAAAAAATTAGGAGATTATTATTTTATAAAAGTAACAGTTCAGTGTGGAAGAATTACTTATGGAAACCTAATATTACCAAAATTCAAAATCATTTCCCGAGCACGTGAATGTCATTAAAATAATAGTATATTAATAATGTGGTGGGAAGAGATTCATTCCTGTCGTGAAATTAGTTAGTTAGCTATGATCTGGAGTCAGGAATGAAACTTCCTACCGACGTTTGTATACTATTTTATTTACAACCATCATATTTCGATCAAAACTAATAAATCTCTGTTTCGTTCTGAACATACCTAAAGTATTACATAAGGTGTGTGATGTGACAATTCCCAACCTTCAATGACATTAGTAATGACATCATTACATACAGAGAAGTGCACAAAAAACTGCCAGGACTGTAACTTTTGTATAATTCTAGATAGGGTTTTGAAAATTGGTGGGTAGCAAGTATACCAAATTGCTCATTAATTGATGAAACAATTTTTCTTCTATCACTTCCAGTTTCACCGGAAACGACCCAAACTTTTGATTTTTAAATGGGACACCCTGTATTGTATTCCATAATCGGTTAGGGATTATCATGACGAATTCAACGATACTGGGTTTGATAGGGTTATTTCAAACAATTACAAAGATATTTGCGTTCGAAGTTTCCATTATGCTCAATGGGTGTGACTTCGCAATATCGAAAACTTCTTTCTCTGTCACACTCGTTGAGCATATGGGAACTTAGAAAGCGAATATCTGCGTAATAGTTTGAAATAACCCTATCAAACCCGGTATCGATGAATTCATTATGACAATCCCTAACCGATTATGGAATACAATACAGGGTGTCCCATTTAAAAATCAAAAGTTGGGGTCGTTTCCAGTAAAACCGGAAGTGATAGAACATTAATTGATTCGTCAATTGATGAGCAATTTGATATACTAGCTGCCCACCAATTTTCAAAACCCTTTCTCGAATAATTCAAAAGTTACAGTCCTGACCGTTTTTTGTGCACTTCTCTGTATATGGTTGTAAATAAAATTCTTTTTTCAGCTGTTGGTAAAACAATTTCTGAAATTCGAATATTTTCGTTCTCCCAAAAGGCATTTGAAAAAATTACTGTACTTCTCGATAAAATATGCATTCAAGATATATAATAATTATGCCTTCCTATATTATGCAAAATATTTCATCGATCTTCTGTTTGACGTCACGGATCAGAAGGAAGTGTGAGTATTATTTCTTCCAGAATATTCCATAACGATCTCGATATAAATAAAATGATAATTAATTATTGCAAAATATTTTAGGTTTGATTTTTTCAAGAAAAACATACCACGAGGAGCTGAAAAAAATGATGCCGTATTATATTTTGCCAATTACATGAAAAGTGTAACTAACGCAGCTATGGCTAAGAGTAAAAGTAAGTTATTGCAAATTATTCGGCTCAAATCTAATATGTGACGTCATCTGGTCATTATATCCACCCCGCAGGCCATAACCCAGACAGCAAAAAGTTCTTTGAATACTCCTGTGGAACATTTCGAATATTATCAGAATGTTCTCACAAGGTGCACTGAGAATATTCTAAGAACATGCGAATGGGATGAATTATAACGTTCCAAGAACGTTCGCATAAATTTTCTCAAAACATTCCCAGGACATCATCAGAATGATCTAGGAATAAGGGTAAAAATATCTCAGGGATCGATATAGGAGGAAAATATGTTCATAATTGTATGTACCAAAAGTGACCATTAGGGTGATATTTATTTCACACACTCTGAAAAAACATCACTGAAACTGTTATATTACAGTTCAAACATATTACATTTATACAAATACCATACCCTGATCACGGACGATTCACGAATATCACGATGACGATAAAGTCATCGCAGATAATATTTTGGATTTGATCATATCATTTTGCATCTCAGAAATATCAAGAGAATTGTAATATCAGATGATGAACCATCACAACTAAAACATAAATGTCCTGAATTACACAGCAATGCCTAAATCACGAGTTACCTAAACGCCGGGCGATAAAGCAGCCCGCGGGAGGTAAAGTGCCACTTCACGTCCGCAAAACCAGGCGCTAAAGTGCTACTTTTCGCCCGGTCAACAAAAATGAAATTTCAAACTTATTTCTAGTCACAGGAAAAACATTTTTTTTTCAATTCCAGCGAAGGATTCAACTCCTGTATCCACAAAGGACAAAGAAAATCGGGAGTTGAGAAAATCAAAAGGTGACTCAGGTAAGAGAGGTTGGCCCAAAAAGCCGGAAACGCCATCAAAGAAAAAGGCTGCTGCTACATCAACTCCGAAAAATTCGAAATCTTTTTCTATTCATACCACTGGGTCTGGAAAGGGAAAAAAGAAAGCAACATCAGAAAGCAATATTGAGATGTATGAAGAAACGTCCATTCATGACAGTGAAAGTGGCGATGAAATTGATAGATCCCTCAGTCAGATGAGGCTTTAAAATTACCTATTTTTAAGTAAAATCATCGATTCACCATTCACCAAATGTCCTTATTCCTATTTATGTTTTGTTTGCGTTACGTCAGTTGTGTACTTTATCAATTTAAAATGAATTAAACGAGTTTAACTGTTTACATTTTCGATAATTCAATTCAAGTCCGGTTTTCATCTCGAAATTTCGGAAATGGAAGACAAACTGAAACTATTCGCAGATTATACAACATTGACATATGGGGTGACACAGGAGATCTGAAGAGATGAAATATTGAAATTTCATTTTTCATAACCCCACCACATCAAAACCCAAAACGGGGTTACTTGAGACACTTTTCAGACATTTTTACGCATGATTTTCACAAAAATTAAGATAAAAATTTGCTTTCCTCACAAGAGCGTCTTATAGATTATTAGGTAGGGCCTACCGTTTTTGAGATATCGAAAAAAAAATTATTTTTTTTGTTATAAATTATTTCATGGGTGTCTCAATTTACCCTTAGAATGGGGTAACTTGAGACAGGCATTGAAAAAGGCGAAAATTGCAAGTTATACTTTACCCAGGGTAAGTTGAGACAAAGTGAAGTTATCCTTATACATATTCTGAAAAATTTCTGAAAAAAAAATGATCAATTGGGCTGAGAAAAGGTAGTAAACAAGTTACATAACAAATTGACCTTTAATTTACCAATAAAAAAAAAGAAAAATGAGGTTTTTATTTCCTTAGAGAAATAGTGAACATTAATAATGACTAAAAAACTAACAACATAAATTGTAGGTTTGCATCAGTATAATCCACGTATTTTCTAGCCCCAAGTTGTCTTCTATATTTACAAGGCATGTCTCAATTTACCCTGAAAAAGTCGAATTTTCGATAAATACCCGTACAACTTCTTTAAGAAACTGTTTTGAGGTTATTTTTCCACATAATCTTATTAAAAAGATATTGATTGAAACGGGACTCTCATTTTATGAATAATTCAATTCATTTTCTCACCGTACCTGAGACAACTTCGTTGTTTCTATAACCATGAAATATACGGTTACATACCAACTGAATTGTTGTGAACAATACAGTGACACGTTCGCAATAACCTACTTACTACTGTGTATCCCTTCCTATCTATGCGAACAGGAATACAGCAAATAAACAACTTCAGAAAATTCATCATAGATGGAACTAGGAGACCGATTTCGTTAACATTGCTGTTTGCCTCATGTTATCCTTAGTGTCTCAAGAAACCCCGTTTGACGGTACTTTGAAATTTACAGGATACACCTCTTTCTTCGAACCTAACGACAATTTCTTTTTTCTTAACCCCACTACATCAAAACCCAACAGTATACTTTGAAATTTACAGGATACACCTCTTTCTTCGAACCTAACGACAATTTCATTTTTCATAACCCCACCACATCAAAACCCAACAGTATACTTTGAAATTTACAGGATACACCTCTTTCTTCGAACCTAACGACAATTTCATTTTTCATAATCCCAACACATCAAAGCCCAACAGTATACTCATTGGTATTTGAAATTTTACCTTCAGTAATTACTATGTAATATCTTTCATCCCTACGACTATTTTTATTCTCGGCTGATAATGTGATACTGTTGGGGTCCCACGCATGTCCCCTGGATCCATCAGTATATTGAACATTTATTAGTGGAGATGATTTTGAGTATATCTTATACAATCTCATTCTACTCCATTTTGAGCTATGGATTTCTACACTAGAATGTACAGTCGTATTCAATAAAAAAGCGTAGAGAGGATTTCGGGATCCTAGTTCTAGTTGTGTAAAACTGGCTCAGCCAATACTTTGTGTTTTTGAGAACATATGACAACTTTACTGTCAACATTTGGTAAGCAATAATCATGTACGCTTTTTTTTAATGCGTCTGTATATGTGACCTCGCTTGTTAACTATCGTCTAATCATCAGTGATTTACGAACATTCTAGTAATACCTCCAAACTTCCTATACAATTTCCCAGTCAACACACGGCTGGTCGATATAGATATCCGTTGGACATCCATTTTGAATATTTAGGATATCCAGAGAACATTCACTTGAAATCCAATGTAAATTTTAAGGACGTCAATGAATGTTCTATGTGGTAAAGAAGCCTGTGGACTTTCTCAAGATAACCTTTGGGGATATTCATGGACATTCACAAGATACTCTCAGAAATGTCCATATATGACATTGTTCACAGATATCCACAATTAGTATATTCATTATATTTCAGGGATATTATTGAGGAATATACCATGTCCAGTTTTGAACATGAATAACTGTAAGAGTTATACAGGGTGTTTCACAGGTAAAGGGAAATATTTCAATGGTAGATAGGGGTCACCAAGGTGGTTCTGAAAATACCATATTTGATAGGTCTTAGAGTTTTCATAACGGAGATACAGGGCGATTTATTGATTTCGAATAATTATTCGTTCGTCTATAAGTATTGAACTACCCAGTATATTTTTCTGAAATTTGGTGTGAAGCTTGAACTTAGGACGTTGAATGCATTCACCTATCGGCGATCTGAAAATCCAGGTTCGGCTTCAGGAAAAATTTACATTTATTCTAAATAATAAAATAACACACTGTATGTAATAATTGACGAAGTTCATCAAAGGAATCGTGAAGAGGAGGAAAAACTGAACTGGATTTGATGCTTTTTGTTTTCCCGCGACCAATTCTCATCGTAACAATGATAAACAGGAAGCTAAAAGTATGTCAATTTCAAGAGTATTAAAATTATGAAACCACTTTCAATTATGATTATTTGATATATTCTCTCTCTCATAAAAACGTATTTTTTATGCATATCGGGTGTCGTCGCAATTACTAATGAAATTTAAAATACCCTGATGTAGAGTGTAATAGTTACCTACCCTTTTTGGAGTTAAAATTGAACATTTCTTCTTTGGATTCACTCCGTTATCTTTCCTATTAGGTACTTACTCAAGGAACACCATTTCATAGCATTAACTGATTTCATGGATAGTTGATATCCAAATTAAACAACGAAATAAAGAAACAGAATGCTAAGTCACAAGTTAAACGAAAGGGTCTTGTAGTGAGTATTTCTGCCGCGGGAACGAAAAACTCCTTGGCAAAGACAGCCTATACCCAAAATAAGACATTAGGTCTCTTATTTTGGTAAGGCAATAAAGTGTACTTTCATTTTCAGCTCCATAATGTAATTAACTGTTCAATAAAATCATGTTTAAAAATAAGGCTTATTACAAATTTGATGAAAAAAGCACGCTATAATAACTACACCCGGTATTTCATAAAAAAGAGGTGGCCAGGTAGCCGTGCGGACAGAGTGTCTATATTCTAATTCGCATTCGCTTGCCGGTCGTGGGTTCGATCCCCGTCGACTGCAGAAATTTTTCTGATGGCCCAAGAAAGTGTTTGGGATCACACGTTAAAAGGTAAGGCCCCCGTCATTCCTTGCTCGCACAAGACTCTCGAAGACTTTTGAGGGTTGCTCGTAAGGGGGCAACCGAATGACGGATATAGAACAAATTTTAGGACAAACAAAAACAAAAATTTATGCGAATTCAGTTTTTACGCCGGTGGGAGTAAAAGTGAGTTTCTCTGGTAACAAAAAAGGGACAAAAGTCTCGTATTATTCCCTAGGGAGATATGTGACATATTTTCTTCCTGGGGAGTTTATACCAACTTAACATTTTCCGCATAGCGCTGCGCTTTCTTTTCGGAACACCCTTCTCTGAAGCGAGTATAAACTGCAGGAGCAGTATCAATAGTTTCTTGATGCCCCATTATTTATTTTCTGTCTTGTATTACCTACATATCGTTAACCGTTTCCATTTAGGAAACACTCTGTACAAGCATTAGCTAATTTACAGTTGCATTGAAAATATAGATGTGTAGAAGGAAAGGTGAGCGCATAGTTCATTTAGAACCGTTGTAGATTGACCCATTATAGATATACAAACACTATTTAAAGAGCAGTGCACCCGTCAATTAAAATTCGTATTATTTTATTATTTATTTATATCATCTACTATTTTCGCGAACCCAGCTGATTTGTAATTTTTCTTGGCGGGGATATTTGTAAGTGAAGTTCAAAATAGAGATGGGTACATCGAAAAATCATCGATTCTTAAGCAGGGTTGCCGTTTTCAGTACAATCGTACCTACTTTTTTCTAGTACAGTTCATTCTGATTCCGTACCAGTACAACTTCCCATCATTCCAATGTTCTTGTCTAGTGTTATTGTGTTATTGTTATTTATAATTTCTCCAAACAAGTTTTTTGTATTGTTCATTTTACATTTTACGTGTTTGAGAGTTGAAGTGTTGCCATCAACGTTAACGTAAACGTAGAAATTGACAGCTACGCATGCGTATTTTTCAATTCTTCACGTTCGCGGTGGTAGTGAGCTTACGAGTGGGTGTAGATTATCTCACGTACTTTCACGTATACCTTAAATATCAAGGTACGATAAACAAACTATACTCGAAATATGCCGATGAGATGAAAATTATCAAATTCGGGATCCCCAAGGACTTCTGCATCAAGAAGTCCTCATTTTAACAGAAATAAATGCTCAGATCTAAACAAACAACCAAATATGACCAATACAAACCGAAAACAAAACGTTATTACGTTACAATGACACAATGACAGTGACGACCTCAACTAAATTTAAAGACAATACGTAAGCTATTTTTTGTACGTTAACGCCTACGTGGAGGTCTACGTACACGTACAGTGAATACTTCAACTCTCTGATATTTTGGGTAATACGATATACGAAACGAACAGTTTAATCCTCTTATATCAAAAAATGTCGAATATCGAATTGCTCGTAGCATCTGATTTTGGTTGCGCAGGAGACTGAAACGTCAATGTCATTGTGGTCAATTCACTGAAAAGCTAAAATTTTGCTGAAGGGTATCTCCCATGCAGTAATGAGTTTGCGCTGTCGAAGTACGCAGCTGATGATACGTCAGATATTTGTTATTTTTATTTGTATAATCAGAGACTTACGAGCCCCAAAAGATAGATTAGGTACTGACGTATAGAGTTTCATGCCTGATTGTTGGATATTTTGTGTCCAAGTGTTGAAATATAATAAAATACGCAGCGTTACCGCCGATATTATGATTGCGTAGTTGACAAAACGGGGTAACGAACATCAATACGTGCGGCTACTGGATCTGAAAACTTTACTGTGCTGTGATGTCTGTGAGTGCTGTAACAGGTAGAATCGATGTTTGAGAAATGCTCTGCAGTCTGCCCATCTCTATACCAGAGGTCACCTTCATAAATCATAAATCTAGATTAATGTTTTTAATTAGATTTTTCATATTTTGAATTTGTCGTTCTCTAACTAATCTAGAAATCTGTCGTAGACGACGTAAACGTGAAGATTCGAATCGCTAATAGTTGTCTTGAAGCCGGTATGTATTTTTTTGTATAATATATTTTTTTTTTTTCAACCAATTTTTATTCTTTTTCACGAAATTATTATAAAGAGGCCTTATGATACACAGCCTACTTTGTTGATTATTATGAAGAAATTAGCTCATTAATCAAGCTCATCACATGTTTTTCATTGACAAATTATTTTTTTTAGGCTAAAATGACAGAAAATACTGGATCAAAATTTATAGGGCGAGGTGCCCACAAGGGCAAGGGCATCGCAGTTTTCACAAGTGGGGGTGACTCACAGGTTAGTACTTATTTTTTAAATCGGTCGTTTCTATCATGTTGATCAAAACATGCCAATTTGAATTATAGGGTATGAATGCAGCTGTCAGGGCTGTAGTTCGAATGGGAATATACTTGGGATGCAAAGTTTACTTCATTAGAGAAGGATATCAAGGTGGGTTGTTGATTGCCATTGCATAATCTATATATTTTAGTGCTGAGAGTCATGGTTTCTTTTTTGTATTTGGATAGGTATGGTTGATGGAGGTGAAAACATAATGGAAGCCAATTGGTCATCAGTCAGCTGTATTATCCATAAAGGTGGTACCATAATTGGATCTGCACGTTGTAAAGATTTCAGGTGATTTATTATAGTTTTGAATACCTTCTTTACTTACTAAACTACTGAGAACTACCTACTACATTTAATAGAACATAATATGATGCTTATCTGGTGGCTATATTTAATGCTGAATATCTTCATCACACAGAATTACTGGTTAGTCAACATCATAATCCTTATAGTGAAGTTCTTCTCATTCCATTGTTGAGATATTTCAATTCTTTTATCCAGAAATGTATCTAATGACAATAATAATTCAGAATTGAAGGAAGTAATAGGTACCCAATCTCCTTTTGATTATACATTTTCCATCAATGATTTAGATTGAGGTTCATGAGTAAGAATCACAAGTTTGTGTCTGCTTGTGTAAGAAATGTGGTATTGTCATTACAAAGGTCTTTACAAAGTCAATTGGAGCAGCCCCAGCAAAAAATATCTGATGCATGTCACTGGTCCTTTTGAAGTTCATGAACTTGGAAATACTTTACCTGTCCATAGTTCTAAAAATGATGACATACTTTTTATTACTCAAAATTGGAATGTATAAACCTTCATCATGAAGTAATAATTTGATTCCCCTGAGTGGAGTTATTTAATAATCTGTTATCAACTTTTTTTTCTTCACACAGGGTCTCAAAAAATGTTCCTACATTTTGAGATTTGATTCAATGCCTAAAACATGAAAATAGTATCTATAAATATGGTTTCAGTAATACTTCAAAGTTAAGATCCAAAATTGACCCTAGAATCATGGAATTTGGTACATGGTACTTATTCATTGTGAATGAATGAATAAAGTAATGAATTAATTAAGTTGTCCATTATGTTCCAAAAAACATGAAAAATGTCATCTTAGTACACCTCTGTTACATAGTTCTACAAGCTATTGATTGAAACACAATATAGGTAACAGATTTTTCCATCCAAGAATATGATCATTATTCTATCATTATAGGGTATTTACTCTGGTATCTATTGAGTTTCTGTACCTACAAACTTTTACTAATTTCAAGACAAAAAGTTCAAATGGACATGGTTCCAAGATAATTGTTTTTTGGTTCTTTGTTTATATTTTCTTTCAATAACAAAGATTTGACGAAATTGAAACATTTTACCGTCAGTATACTACATATTTTTTACCTGACAGCCAAATCAGGATGTCCAATGATTATTATTGAATGAATCAAAATACACCCCAGACAAGTTTAGCTATCGAAAAATTGGTCTTGAATACCATGTTCAGAAATGATCAATTAGCAGGGAGTCCAAGAGGTAGTTACCACCCTTCTTATAGTACTGAATAAATCATAAGAATGTCATTTATAATTCTGTAAAAATTGATAGCCGAGGCTAGCAAACAGTGCATATTACATTTTCTCGTCGACCTCAAACACATATCCACATCGGATTTTGTGAATGATTAATTTGACAGCAAGATTGTTGCTAGATTTTGAATAAAGAAAATAACGTGGACACAACAAACTAACTTGTATCATAAAGTTAGTTCATTGTTTTCACGATGACCAAAGCGTGCGAGCTTCTCCCTCAGGAAGTTGCCTCGGCCTATACGGCCTATTGACAAATCCAGGACTGTAAGTCAAATTGAAAAACAAATTATCATTAAAAGTTTATCCCATACGATGCCAACTTCACGAATGACACTGGAACCGTTGCAGGGAGAAAGCAGGTCGTCTGAAGGCGGCCAAGAATCTCGTCCAGCGTGGCATCACCAACCTGGTGGTGATCGGCGGCGACGGTAGCTTGACCGGTGCCGACCTCTTCCGGCAGGAATGGGGCACTCTGCTCGACGAGCTGCTCAAAACCAACGAGATCACCGCCGAGCAGCGGGACAAGTGCAAGACGCTGCAAATCGCCGGGCTGGTCGGCTCTATCGATAACGATTTCTGCGGCACGGATATGACCATTGGGACGGACAGTGCCTTGCACAGGTGAGATATACCACGTGTGTCTGAAGTTCAGACTGAATAACAATAGATAGTCACAGCGATTCATGCATAAGTTATAGAAACGTATACCCCGACAAACCAAAACGCTAAACACATATAAATGAATGCACTCGCGAATGGTGGGGAAAACTGCCGAATCAGTATGCTCGGCGAGCTGCTCAGCAATCTAGAACGCTAAACAAGGGTAAGTGAATGAAATCGCGAATGGTGGGGATAATTCTACCGAATCAGTCAGATCAGTCTGCTCGACGAGCTGCTCAAGGCTATGCCGCCGAGCAGCGGGACAAGTGCAAGACGCTGCAAATCGCCGGGCTGGTCGGCTCTATCGATAACGATTTCTGCGGCACGGATATGACCATTGGGACGGACAGCGCCTTGCACAGGTGAGATATACCGCGTGTGTCTGAAGTTCAGAATGAATAACAATAGATAGTAACAGCGATTCATGCATAAGTTATAGAAAAGTGTACGCCGACAAACCTAAACGCTAAACACAGATAAATGAATGAAATCGCGAATGGTGGGGAAAACTCTACCGAATCAGTCTGAGCGACGTGCTGCTCAAGGCTTAATAGATCACCGTCGAGCAGCGGGGGAAGTGCAACAGCGTGTCTCACTTTAAATGCCCCTCCTTATTGTTTTTTTTTTAATAGTGATTTCCTCAGTAGGCATCATCCACATTTCCACATTACGTGGGATATAATAAGGTCCTGGATTGACAACAATGTGCTGCTCGGATCTAAAACTACGTAAAATCTAAAAGTAATAATTTTCAATTTAATCATGAGACGTGCATATAATGTAAATCTATGGAAAATCTTGGAACGCCATATATTTTTTTTAATTTACAATTCACCAACTAACTATCTCAATGAAGAGAAGGCAGGAAGATAAAAAAAAAATTCTGTAATGAAAAACACTGTAGATACCTAACCCATTAGGTGCCCACCTGTCTTGTTTCCATAGAGACACAAAGGTGAATATCTGTCAATCAGAGAATCTGGAAAGCCCACCGAACGAATTCGAGGATTTGAATTCAAGAAAAGTATATTCTGATCAGTTTTCTTTGTGGATTGTTTGTTCGGTTAGACTTGGCTGGATGTTTTTGGCAGAATTGTTGGGAAGTATCAAACACTGCACTTATGGATCTGCAACTAAATAACCAATATCAAATATCTAAGTTAATATGAATTGAAAATGAATATTTTTTTGATGCAGTACATGGATGTAAAATCTGAAACATACCTGAATAAAATGTTCAACATCCGTAATGGGATTGCAACATATTCGTTTTCTTTCCAAATATTGGTTTCCTCAGTAGGCTTCATCCACATGTCCACATTACGTGGGTCATAATAAGGTCCTGGGATGCCTAACAATGTACTGCTCGGATCTAAAATTGAGTACCTATTAATCTGAAATTTTGATAGCGAGACATCAATCCATGAAAAGTCTGAATATTGGTTTCGACTTTCGTAACTGGAACGCGATATATTTTTTATGATTCATAAATTCATCAACTATCTCAATCAAGACGAGGTAGGCAGATAAACAACAATTTTCTCTGTGATGAAGAACACTGTATATACCTAACCCATCAGGCGCCTACCTCCTTTGCAGAGAGGATTTATAAACGCCAAGTTGATACTCTCCCCTCGTAAGGGTACCTGTCGTGTTTCCATAGAGACATAAAGGTGAATATCTGTCTATCTGTTTGCTTGAGGATCTGGAAAGGAAATCAACATATCGTATTCCGTACGAATAAGAGGATCGGAGTTCAAAAAAATATACTTCCTTCAGTTTTCTTCGATTCGGCTTGACTGGATGTTTTTCTCCGATTTGGTGATGAAGTATCAAACACTGCGCATTTCGGATCTACAACTAAAATATCAAAGTTGATATGAAACACTCACCAGCATGAAAAAAGTGAAGCCCTGGTAGAACATGATTATGTACAAAATAGTCCACTTCTACTATTCCATTGTTTGAAATATCCGATTTTCCCAAACCACGAAACACCTAAACAACACACGATCGTGAAAATGTAATCACTGAACTGAATGAGAAACACAACACACAATTATCACAACTTTTTTAGAGAACACTTTGCTTTAAATGATAATTAATTCCTTTCGCGTATATTTTGCTGCCGATCACAAAATACGATCGTACGTGCTGTCATCTAATATAAGACCGTCTTGATTTACAACTTGGTCGTGAATGAATGACTAGCAAGTTGGATCATGCTGCTATTTATGACTGAAATAATACGGGGAGAGAAGATAATATACAAGGTGAGTCAATAATGTGTTCTCCTTCGATATTAGCCAAACCGTCCGATATACAGAAAAAAATTAAATACAACAGTTATGATGAGAACTATCACCTAAAATTATTTTCATATCTTTAGGGTGTTTGAATGTTGAATGGGACACTGTATATTATTGCATTTTTAGGTTTTCCCGGAAGAGCTGATTTCATCAATGTATCACACTCGGGATCTAGCAGGAATGATTACAGATATATAGGGTGTTCAAAATCGAGATTTTTCAAATTTAGAATAGTTTTGTTTTGAAACTTTACCTGTTTCAACTTTTGATTTACTATCTACTGACATAAAATTGGAACAGATACAGGGTGATCAGAATTCTAAATATTGAACCATCCTGTATTTGTTCCAATTAAATGTCAGTAGATAGCAAATCAAAAGTTAAGACATGGACTTGTAAGCCGTTATGACCAATAATGAAAAGTTTCCACACAAAAAATCGTAAAATTGAAAAATCTCGTTTTTGGACACCCTATCTGTAATCATTCCTGCTAGACCCCGAGTGTGATGAAGTGATGAAATCGGCTCTACAGGGAGAAACTAAAAATGAAAAAAAAATACAGGGTGTACCATTAAAAAAAAACGTTTGAGTTATGACATCCGCGACACCTTTTTCAAACGGAACAACCTATATTTATTGAATTTTTGGAATCTCTATGAGAAGCTGGATTCGAAATCATATCACACAGGGTTTGTATACAGGGCGTCCGTTAAATTCACTTATCTCATAAAATGGGGTCACCACCATTAAAAAAATACAAAATACTGTATGTATCAATTGAATTTGAAAGGAAGCTCGAATGAAAATGACATTCTACTTCTTCTTGCAAAAAACTATTCCTTTAATTTTCAACGAATACAACTTTACAAGAGCCCTTGATCTAACAGACTCTATGTGTAATATATTTTTGAATTCAGCTTTCCTTAGAGATTCCAAAAATCGAATGATTTATAGGGTGTTTCATTTGAAAATATTGTCGTGGAGGTCATAACTCAAACGTGAATCACCCTGTATATTCGATGTTTTCTTATAAATTCGGGAAATTGCTAATAAAAATCGACCTGTTTCAAGAGATTTCTCAGAAATGAATAGTTTGGATATAAATGAATTTATTCACTATTCACAATTGAATGGACACACTGTAATGAGTAATTCAGATTTTCATGGAGATTTCGAAAATCAAATGATATATAGGGTGTAGGGTGTTATATAAAAAAAATTGTCGCGGACGTCATAACACAATCGTGGATCACCCAGTATATCTGATTTTTACTCATAAATGTGGCAAATTGAAAATAAAAATCGACCTATTTCAGGAGATTTCTAGGAAATGGATAGTTTGGCTAAAAAAGTATTCATTCAGTACTTAATGAAAGCACTGTATATGATTGAATATGTTCAAAATCACATTACCTATACCACATCGTTCTAGGTATACGTCTGTAAACGCGCTGTATAGTGTAAAATTCAAGAATTCCTCAGAAATTTATGAATATTTATTTCAAAATCTCGCGATTTGCAGAATTCAACACAGACATATAGGCCAAACATTTTCTTTAGGATACCTATTCGGAAAAATGTAATAAACAAGGACATAGGAATAGTAGAAAATGAAAAATGTGCCGAAAAATAAGATGACAAGATTATCGTATTGAAGACATTTGAAGAAAATATGATCTATGCATTGCATGAAAAAAATTGAACACAAATTTGTTTTCAACGAACTGTGTCTGATTTTGTGTTGAAGTTGGGAGTATTGATTGTTGTTTTTCATGATTACCCTGTATAATATACAGGCTGATCCACGGTGGATGGCCTATTAGAAGTATCTGGAGAACGAAAAGACAGAACATTCTGAAAATTCGGATGCTTTGATAATTGAACATTCTCTATCCGTCTAAAATATTTTCATCGATACAGTGTTGCCACTTCTATCAGAAACAACTAGCAACTTCGTTATTTTAAATAGAGCACCCTGTATTTTATTGCAGTACTTTTGTCCCGGATATATATCACATATAGATACACTGTTAATGGCTTTTGTTGTGCTATAGTTCCGAAAAATGAGTCAATAATACCGTCTCCGAGAAAAAACTGCGAGTCCTTTTATCTTCCATTCGACTTCGCGATTACGTCTATTACAGAACAACAACTAAATTCGCAATTCTTTGAAATCAAATCACAGAATTAAACTGACAGAAGTGACGTCAGATATTTGATTACTTCAAAAGAATGATAAAGATGCCTACAACGCAAGTGTCCCTACTGTTGAAAACTTTAAATTTCACGTCGATAATTTTCAGATTTCAAAATGATGTAATAACTTCTCAATATTCATTCCTACTTTCTTCTGTCACAGAAAAAAAGATTGTATTATACACGGGAAACATATTAGATTTTAGCTCACGGTTTTTTGTTTTTTTTGTTTTTTGAGACAACACAACCTGGAGTTAAAATCTACTACTTTTTTTCCTTGTATAATAAATAACTATATGTTTCGTCGACCTCAAACACTTATATCCACATCACGGCCTTATTCACACGTGAAATCTATTGAATTCCGTGAATAATCAATCTGACAACAGCAAATAACAGTTGTTGTTAACTCACTCTTCGCTCGGACCAGGGTTGCCAGTTCAATTTTTATTTCATCAAAAATTTCTATTTTATGCTATACGAATTGCAAGAAAGGATGTTGAAATAATCCTTCAACGTCAAAATATATACTTTTAGTACACAAAAAATAGAAACAAACATTTTCATGAAAAATTAATCATATTCCTAATTCTTGATTTGAAAATACTCGCAAATATCATAAAATACAGTTACATAGGTACATACGATTTGAGTATAAAAAACAGGAACGAATAGTAAAAATGAACATCAAAAATACGACACAAATAAAATCATTTAACGTGAGAATCAAACTGTTATAACAGAGGTATATAAAGAATCAAATTTGATCTGAATCAGATAAAGTATTGCCTTTTTTGGTTTAAAAATATCATTAGTACCTATATGTAAATTTGATACTCATTTTGTAAAATTAATGTAAACAGAGTGTACTGAAATATCCATGCAATTCATAAGTGTATGTGATTAACTAAAGATTGATAATAATATAGGTAATCGTAATAATAAATAAGTGTCAAAATATTTTTGAGTAGGTTATGAAAAATTCAGTAGAACTGGCATGCCTGCAAAAAGTTAGTGTCTGCAGACGAAAAGTACTCACCTTCGGAAATAGTCGGTTTTTCTTACGGGAATTAGAACGTACAACGTGACTTTTTGTAGAGCTGGACGAAAATTATTTTGTAAAAAATAGTGTTCCTTTAGTATGTCACTGTTGATATTTCCTATTTTTCACATACACGATCACGATATTTGTAATCACTGAACTGAGAAACACAAAACACAATAATATTATCACTCCGATAATCACTCATTTGTAAGTTAACACTCCGTTTGGAATTATAATTGATTCCTTTCGCGTATTTTTTATGCCGATCACAAAACTCGACCGTGCGTGATGACATCTAATATAAGACTGTCTTGATTCACCACCTGTTCCTGAACGAATGACTAATAAGATGAATCATGCTGCTATCCGAGCAAATGATTTATCTATGACTGATGATGATAACACAAATATACGGGTGGAAAGGAAATATATTAAACATAATACAAGATGAAGTATTGAACATTGACATACTGGCTGTAATTTTTTCGAAATTCTCGAAATTCGGAATAATTCAAAGGTGATCTTGTGATTTGAAAGAATTCAACAGACATAATGTACTCAAAAAATCGAGGAAATTTCTCGAGCAGGAAAAAAATTTACGGGCCATAAAGGCATATATTTATTTATTATACAAGGGAAAAAGTAGTAGATTTCAGCTCCGTGAGCTAGGATCTAATATTTTTCCCGTGTATCATGCACTATTTTTTTCTGTGATAGAGGGAAGGACGAATCAATATTGAGAAGATATTACATTATTTTGAAATCTGAAAATTATCGACGTGAAATTTCAATTTTTTAACAGTAGGGACACCTGCGTTGTAGGAATCTTTATCATTCTTTTGAAGTAATCAAATATCTGATGTCACTTCTGTCAGTCTAATTCTGTGATTTGGTTTCAAAAAATTGCGATTCTTTCTCGGAGACGGTATTATTGACTCATTTTTCGGAACTATAGCACAACAAAAGCCATCAACAGTGTATATATATGTGATATATATCCGGGAAAAAGTAATTTATGAAAAGTGACATTTTATAACCTGCCAACAGAGATGAAATGCCAAACTTTTTCCCCGTCACAATTTTTTTTTGTATGTTATACCACACATGATATTATTATGCCGGAAATATTCGGCGATTGCTACAATAGTTTGATGTTGCCTAATAATTTCGCGAATGACATTGTTTATCAAAACTTTCGAGGCGTATGCGAGAAGCTTTGGAACAATGTAATTCGTGAAATTGAAGCAGCAAACTGGAGTTTGTCAATCGACGAATATTTCCAGGAAAAATAGTATCACGAGTTGTATTCGTATGACTATTTCACGATTGAGACAATAAACGAGCGCCTCGCGAGAGTTGCGCACACTGCATCCATCATTCTGGCTCCCAACACAAATGACGTTGAACAACGTCAAAAATTTCATCGCTTTATTGGTCACGTGTGGGTCAATTCGAATTCTGTATTAGTAGAGCAACTCCTACAATTTTTAGTAAACAAAAAATAACGCTGTGATACAGAAGAAACCGTGAAAATGGTCGAGTCTGATTGGTTCTAGAGAACAAGAATGGAATAGTCATCAGAAAATTTCGAATCGTCATATCTATCGTCCTATTCAACTCTCGTTTGTTTTGTTCGCATTATTTTTTCTTCAAAATAACAGTTCTGAACCGAAAGCACGAGAATCCTAGGAAAGTATTCCTTCATTGGAATCTAGTGGACAAACTTCTCATTGAATAAGATATTCGAAATTGTGAATTCATTACAAAAAATCAAATCTTCACAATAGTTCAATGTAGGCTTCCTGAAGAAACAAAAAAATTCAATTAAAATATTAAATTGGTATACTTACTATCGAGCTGAGATAATCATGGTTTTACCTTCCACGATAATTCAACGCTGATGATGGACATTCCAAGGCTCGAAACATGTCCATTAAAATATCATTAGGAGAATTATTTTTTAGTTTTCTTTCCTTATCATCATCAATACTCCACTTTGTGAAACAATGGATTTTTTCTACGGCTATAACACAAAATTAATCTTGTATGTGTTATTACTTCACAAAATCTAATCTCCCATGAAATGTCAAATAAATCAGATGGCTACAAGCCGAAGAAACAAAAAATTCCGCTGTTATTTGTTAGAGCCGTAGAAAAAGTATCTCGTATGATTTTCAGCATGAACTATAGGCGAATGCAAACTTCATTCTCGTCGGAAATGACTATTATTCGTGTTTTATATGTATTTTTCTACTCACATAACTAAAATGGCATTTAGCGTACGGATATGTACCACGCTAAATGATCGATTAATCACGGATTGTCGATCTGTGATTTATTCGAAGTATTAAACACGTTACCATGGCAACACGATTTCTTGAACACATTACCATGGCAACGCAGTTCATTAAACACAGCTTCGGTAATTTGGGACATGTCTGGTCTGTCAATTGTATCAAATGTCAACTGTTTTTTTCAAATTTTGTATCAGAATTATTCAAGCGATATTCGTTTATATCAGAATTCTTCATTAAAAATATATGCGAAAAGTAGACGAAAGTGAAATCGAAGAGAATGTTCTGGTACTTGCATATCTCCATGAAGTGTGAAAATGAAGCATCCATCTTTGAGAACAATTTATTTATTCTGCGCTAAGCATGACAATAAACGTCAAACAAAGGTTAGTAAGCAATGGACTGGACACATCCACAACCAATATCACTTATACGTGTCTCGCTGGTTGCATGTAGTTGCATGTATTATGTTCTCAATTCCCATTCCTTTCGAATTGATTTGTAGGTTAGCAGGAATTGCAGGTATGCTAATGTAATTTTCGGAGTTCGTAGAAAAATCATAGTATGTAACGCGTTTATAAACTCTTCTAGACTCTCGTTTATTAAACACTCGCTCCGCTCTGCTCCGCTCGTGCTTAAAATACTCGTTACTAAAAGTACGTTTCTAACACTTGTTACATAATTTACTATTACTAATTCCACAATATAGATTCTACATACATAAAAATTCAAAAATATTTGTTGTTCGTCTCCTCGACAACCTTTTATCACTAGATTTAAATGCATATGAACCTACTGGGCATACAATCCTAACAATTCCGTTCTCGTTAAACAATATAATAGTTTCCCTTTGCTTGACGCTTTTAATATTTATATTTATTTTCAGAATCATAGAAGCCGTCGACTGCATCGTCAGTACAGCCTATTCTCACCAGCGTACTTTCATCATGGAGGTGATGGGTAGACACTGCGGGTGAGAACTCAACCATTTACGATTACCGTTTTCCAGAAATTTGTCTTTGTTGTCTACTGTTGTGACTAAATATTCACGAAATGTTATAGGTATTTGGCTCTGGTTGCCGCTTTAACTTCTGAAGCAGATTACGTTTTTATTCCTGAATCACCTCCGCCAGAAGACTGGCAGAGTAAACTGTGCGAGAAATTAGAACAGGTATTTCGCGGTGAAATTATTCGCCTGTAAATTTGCATTGTGTTCAAACTAACCGTTTCTATATTAGTTTAATCTTCTGACCTTTTCGCTTGCACAAAACAATATTAACCTTCTTCTTTCCTGTTCAACTAGTAGAGAATTTCCTTTGTGACTCGAATTGTATATACGTCGAATTGTCGGGTTCATTTTGATTAGAGTCACTGAATAGTGAATGGTATTACTAGATAAGAGTTCGGATACAGCTGAACTTTTGTCCTTTTCTATTTTCCATATTACAATGGTTTGAGTGAATAAAAGGATAAGATATATATTCTCCACTTTGTCTTTCCAATTTCACTAATATAGCCTGATGGGTTGCGTGCAAGAACTGTCAGATGACCGACGCTGGAGGCAAAACATTGAAACACAACGTCACTTTTCCTACTTGTTTACAAGTGATCAAAATAGTTTTCCACAATTATTTTGGCATATAAATCGTATTTTTCCGCTATTCATCAATTCGCACATTGTGCTGTTGTAAAATGCACAAAAACTGCAGCGGAAGATGAAGGAATCCGGATGGTACATCATGATTTAAAAGTAAGTAGCTACTATAGTCACTCACATATAGTTTTCATTTTTGAAATTTGGTTATTTCTCTGATTTCTCATCGGAATTCCTTCTGCAATAAGAGCTAATAGAAATATACCTGAAATTTCTAGAATAATGCAAGAAGATTGGATTCATGTAATCAATCGGGAGGACTGGTCTGACATGCTGACGATCGTGTGTGTTGTAGACATTTTCAATCTATTAGCAGTATTAGCTTGTATTGCAGAAGTGGCAGAAGGCAGAAGGAATTTTAATAAGGAATGACAACATTTCATAATGATGACTATGTGAGATAACTATTTACCTGAAAAATCATATTCCCTAGTCTCTTGCTGCATTTTTTGTGCATTGTACAACAGCACACTGCAAAGGCATGCTTGAATTAATGAATAACGCAAGAAACACGATTCGTATGCCAAAATATTGTGAAAAACTATTTCAACCTTTTGATTCCTCTGTAAACAAATAAAAAAGTGAGGTTGTGTTTCAATAATTCACAGAAGAATGAGGTTGTGTTTCAATATTTTTCCTCCAGGGTCGGTCATCGTGCACGCGACCTATTGTCAGATACGATTTTAGAGGTTAGATTTCCTGTCAAATCAGTCATAGCCGAAGATGGGAAATGGAAATAGGGTATAAACACCCACTTCACTTCACGGCACTTTTCGCAGATTAGCAGTGAAAAGAATGCATGTAATAACATTTTAATGACAAAATAGACACATAATATGGATATACTTATAGCTAGTTCGGTCGGTAGTGAATGATCACGTTGCAATTTACTTGATTTCCTCAATTACGTTCTCAAATTTTCAATTTAATCACATTCCTTCCATAAGAGAATAGGGTTGATGTTTTCTTTGACAAATAAAATGAATGAAATCCTTTCTCTTCACAATTCCCAGGTTTAATTACAAAGCAGGACATTTTCATTGATTCTTTCTTCTCAATAATTCGTGAAATTATATTTCAATTCTGACGTTCATAGTATTTATTGTCAAATTCAAACAATTTTGATTGAAAAAGCGCTGAAAGACTATGGTGCTCTTGTCACAATGCAAGGTGTGTAACTTGATGAATCTAAACATTCAAAAACACTAACTAGTTGTCATTTCTGTGTCCGAACTCTTATCTAATTAATACCATCCAGTGACTCTAATTTTGATGTATGGGAATGGGCGAGTGGACTGATACTGAATAATTGTCATTCAATCACTTCACTGTATCGTTAGGGACCTTGATCAATTTTTACAACACTTATAACGCGTTTTTGTTGTAAATAATGTGTCTATGCGTTGTACGAAGTTGTTGAATTTCAGGACTCATTTCAAACGTGCCGTCATGGTCGCCATTCGGCCATGTTCTTCGATACGTCGGATATCAGCGGCGTCAGTTCTGATGATGACTCATTATTGGTCAGATAATCTTTCATTCCCACTCATGAAGCAAGGTTGTCAAGCCACCAATTGGGAAATTTCCTTCACATGAATTTTCATAAAATAAGTTCGGAACTCTCCAGTTTTATGTCCACGCTGTACAGAATGGCGACTGATGAAGTCCAAGTCGTTTTCATTCTGAATCTAGTCTGAGAATAGCTGATGGGGAAGAATATCGCTAGCGAATAGCTTACGAATAGCTAACGAATGAAAAACGAATGAAGAAAATAGAAGAAGAAGTGAAACTGGTAAAGAAAACCATGCATAATCACAAAAAGCACTCGGAGCAGTAATGCAGAAGGTAGTTGGCTTCATTCTGACAGGTTATGGTTTCGTTATTTATGCATTGAAATATCTCGAATAGAGCTCGATCCTAAACGGAAATATCATTGAATCAATGAATCACTATGGACTACATTGAAAGATACTATCCTTCATAATTTACTGCCATCGGTCAGAACAGAATGATGCCGACACCCATGGCTCCTTCCTCTTGTTGTACCTGTCAATATTTTGAGTGGTGTGGACGGATTCGAAGTATTTGGCGCTGTTGCAAGATATAATCTTCAACTTTCCTAGAAAATAGATCCGTTTCATTAAGGAACGAATTCATTAGCAAAAAAATGACTGACAAGTTATGAATAACATATTGTAATATAACGATAGTGAAAAATTATAGATACTATCGCAAAATATCATAATTTATCTTTATTAGTAATCAACTTCATTCAGCCAATGAGAGATTTATGGGAATTATTCATAATACTTGACAAAGTAGGATTGAAGAACCCATTATATCCCATTGCTGTTATGATATAGTTATTATGCATTCAAAGAACAATTTCCGGAAATCTAGACATATTGATGATGTCGGCAACGTCGTACTAGCACAGGGAATCGTATTTTAACTCTGTGTGAATGTGGATTGCCAGAAAGTAAATCATAGGAATGGTGAAGGAGCCAAGTTCCTCTTTTATTTATTTTTTCCTGAAGTGAAATTTGATCTTACGAAAATAAGAAAAAATACGTATATATTAATTTTTTGACAAACTCCACAGTGAGATAAAAACCTCAATATTGGAAACATCCCCATTATAATCAATTTATCAAAAAGTTGTTACGAGTCCTGTGGTTGAATAAAACTATATCCACATTAAATATTTTTCCGTCGACCTCGTATTAACGACTAAGTTTAATGTAAACTAGTCAACACTAATTTCGTCGCACACCAAAATGTCGCCCCTGTTATAATGTGAATAACTTTTTTCAGTTCAGAACAATTTGAATTTGGTTCACACTGTTCGATAGCCCAGTCCTTCAGCTATAATCTCGTACTTCATTGAAACATAAGGGTATTCACATAAAATCTCTACATGGTGTTTTCCGACAATGTGCAAAATTTCGGAATATTCAAAAGGCTCTCAAATGGTGAAAAAATTTGTTTTCTCAACTTCGACAATAAAGGCATGAAGATGATCCCATTACCTCGAGATGTTTCGCGAATCAACTTCCTATCTCTCTTATTTACAGAGTGATCTCAAAAAATCAACTTTCTGGTTTTGCAGCCATAACATTTTTCCACGTCAACCGATTTTAGAAATCTTAGGCTCATTTTGAAGATAAAACTTCAGATGAAGAGATCTGAATATCAGAATTGACTCAAGATGGCTATCAGAGATCTAGAGTTTTCTTGAAAGTGACCCAAATTTGAAACGCCCTCCAAATCTCGATTGGGAGGAGAATTGAATGAAAATCAACTTGTTCTCGGAAAAAAAAATCATTCTGAATGCGTCCATATTTTCCTCGCTCTCAGTAGTCAAGAAAGTGCGTGAGAAAACACAATTGAAACATGTTCTTGCAGAAACATCAGATCATTTCTCCTCTGTGATGCATGGCCCGTAACCAACGTTACAAGAATCACAGTAAGTGACTGACAAGTCAGGTTAGACGTCGTTTTCAAATCATAAACAGATTTCGATAGTTTCGATGCCGCATCTAACGCGAATGTGGGTGACAACTTTGTTCTCGTTGATGACAATGCGAGACCGCATAGGGTTGTTGGTACATCATTCATGATGAGCCTTAGCTGGTCGGGTTTGTCAGTCCATTGTGATTCTTGTAACGTTGGTTACGGGCCATGCATTACAGAGGAGAAATGGTCTGATGTTTTTGCAAGAACATGTTTCAATTGTGTTTTCTCACACACAGTTCTTGACTACTGAGATCGAGGAAAATATGAACGCATCCAGAATGAATTGTTTTTCCGAGAACAAGTTGGTTTTCATTCAATTCTCCTCCCAACCAAGATTCGGAGGGCGTTCCAGATTTGGGTCACTTTCAAGAAAACTCTAGATCTCTGATAGCCATCTTGAATCAATTCTGATATTCAGATCTCTTCATCTGAAGTTTTATCTTCAAAATGAGCCTGAGATTTCTAAAATCGGTTGACGTGGAAAAAAGTTATGGCTGCAAAACCAAAAAGTTGATTTTTTGAGATCACTCTGTAAATAAGAGAGATAGGAAGTTGATTCGCGAAACATCTCGAGGTAATGAGATCATCCTCATGCCTCTATTGTCGAAGTTGAGAAAACAAATTTTTTCACCATTTGAGAGCCTTTTGAATATTCCGAAATTTTGCACAGTGTCGGATAACACCATGTAGAGATTTTATGTGAATACCCCTATGTTTCAATGAAGTACGAGATTATAGCTGAAGGACTGGGCTATCGAACAATGTGAACCAAATTCAAATTGTTTTAAACTGAAAAAAGTTATTCACATTATAACAGGGGCGACATTTTGGTGTGCGACGAAATTAGTGTTGAGTAGTTTATATGAAATCGTTTATTAATGACCCCTATTAATGAACGATTTGTCTATTAATGTACGATTGTTTTATAGGCAACCAAACATACACCGCGTGCATTCATTGTTTATGCTATAACTTACGGAATCTGCATTTAAATCGAAAAT